ACACAATTGTAATGACAATAACTCGCATGTATTTGCCATTATTAGATTTTTGAACAGATGAAATCGACTATTACTTGAGATAAAGTCATATGTGTGATAACATCCAGTTCTGTTTTATCATTCATATGAAATTAGGAAATGTCATATTCCTGTACAAATAGAAACAAGATATGATATCACTTACCATATTCACCATAAGAAAGACCCTGCAGGTTTAGAACATTGACAAATTGGCTGCTTATTAAAACCATACAATTTAAAAAAAAATTCTGAGATCAAGCAGTAATGAACACAGTGAGTTCAAACTTCAGTGAAACTAAAACATTTTTCATAATAGTTACTAGGTAATTATATACCCCTTGTGCACTGCTGTTTTCTGTGAAAAATGTGTAATATATTCAGAAAATTGGTCAAGTGAATTTTCTGTCTTAGTAGGGGGCATTTGAAAGATTACTTACAGATTGGCCTAGAAGTAAGACTGGAGGTGCTTATTGGAACAGGGTGCTTAATACAGTGAATATGGTATGTTATTTGTTCATTAAACAAAGAAACCAGATGTTTTGGTGACCTACCTTTGTGAAAACTCAGTAGTGTCAGTGAGGCACTACTTCCTGCATTGACAATACTTCATACATGTTTTCCTTAACACTTGCACAATAGATGATGGAAAATGCGCTTGATAATATTTTGTGTAGATTTTTGGGGGCAATGCAGATCTTAATGAATTTTTTTGTGAAAATGAAATGACATTTCATGTTCTTGATAACATCATGATTTAATTTTTGTGGTGATGCAAATTTTCCTATTTTGTGAAGTATTCTTATTTAAGTCAAGTTTAATTGTACAAATCAATCATTAAAAGTTTTTTGTAAAACATAAACATAAAAAAATATATTATTGATTCCATGGCAATGCACTGATTAGTTCATGTATTTTGCAAAATATCAATACTTAAAAAATTTGCATACATCAAAGTTTATGTAAACATAAAATGTTTAATATTTTCCAAGAACTTTGACTTTTATTATGACCAATGTAATTGTACCAAGAAGTATGATTTCCAAAGGTTTTTTGACATGGTGACCTGATACATTTCATTAGACAAACAAATGTTAAGTTTCTCTTCAAGATGAGAGGGCAGAATGTGCTTAGTCATGATGATGATAACGACAGGATCATTGTATGTGATGTCTCCCCGAATGTACATACAGACGACTGGTGTTTGACGTGACTCATGGACTATCACTAGGTGGACTCTACCTTTAAGAAACCCGCCTAGAGACTTGCGCTATTTATAACGCTGACATGGTTTGCTGTTTTGGCATCATGCCATCCCTCCTTCGGCTCCACCTGTTGAATATTACTTACAGGAGTTAGTGTTTTTGTCCTATGTTGCTGGCTCAACACTGTAACACTTGACCTGTCATCCTGGTGGTGTGAGGCCATTATCATTACTGTTTCTGTGTGTCTGTAAGAATGGAGAAACTATGAGGATCATTTCCACTTTCTTGATCTTCATCACTTTATGGACGATGTAATAGTAAATGCAGTTAAAATAACTGATGTCAGTGATAGAATCTAACATTTTTAGTCCACTAGTTCCTATAATGATAACATACAGCAAAACCCTTAGAAATGTCTAGTTTCAACTTATATAATAATAGTCCCCATGATACCTTAACTATTGGGCAGTTTGGCAAGGACTATTGGGCTAGAGCCAGTTTCTATTGGTGTATGTATACATTTCTAGTCTGTCTCACAATCCCTGAACCATATTATGTTCCCTTCTGCCCAGCACCTACTGTAAAGGTACTGTCTTAATGAAGCATGTCTAGATTTTCCAGAGATACAGAATCCCAATCTAAGTCACTCCTTTTCAATTTTAATGTAGATGCTTTTTTCTATCAAAACTATTAAGGGTTAGTCTTACATTATTTCTAGCCAGAGACTTTATCTCTTGCCTGAAGCCTGTGTCTAGTTAAATGTCTTTGTGTCTAGTGAGTTCAGCAATTAATAAAAGGATTTTGTTTATTTTTAAGCATTTTTAAAAAAAATTGGAAATAGAAACTTAATCATGTTAATTACAGTCCATATATTGATACTATTATCAGCTGAAACTGATGCCATGAGGCAAGTTTTAGCTTACAGACTTAATGTTTATGATCGTTTCTCACAGTGATCAAACCGATTTTGTAGACCTATTGATTATCACAAATCTTTGAGAGAAACGTAGGATTTTGAAGCTTTTTATTTTGTTGAAAATGATGACGACTTCTGTGATGCTTGACATTGATCTTCCCTCTACACAAGTGCAGCATCATTGCCGGAGAACTGTAGGGAATCAATACGTGATCAGCAGTGGTGGCGGCCAAGTTGTCTAGGATACTACAGCCAAGCTGCTCTAGGTTATGATGGTGTATCTGTGACCCTGTATTCATTGAATTATCGAAGGACTTTCTGCTGTTGAAGGGTTAATAGCTACAATTGATATTGCCAAGTTTAGGGAAGAAGAAAATAGTGCCATAAACATGGTGAGAGTTGTTAGGTCTGCTAGTCCCTGGATGATTGAAGACCTTGAAGGATTATTTTCTCTCAAAATCTAGTTTTTCCTACTAATTAAGATCTGTGGACTAATTTGATGTACAGCTATTTTGTGGCCTCCAGGAGAGTAATTGGATGTGGATCCTATAAACCAGTGGTTGATAGTGTGTGTCTAGTGGTCTTTGGGGACGTTCCACAAAGCGGTCTGAGCTCTATGACTGTCATAATTCAATGTTAAGTGGATGGGAGTTACAATTGTGTTGCGCTGAGATTGCTAGGTGGAATTGCCTGATTTTCATGCTTCATTACTCTTGTGACAGGTATGATTAAACCTTGAAACAGTAGATTTCTACCTTTGGTTATCATGTCATTGTGACCTGATGGCGTGAATCGTGTTCACAATATCAAGCACAGGATCGTCTGGTTCAGACTTGCTTATTTACAAGCCAACGTCATATTACTGGAATACTGCTAAGTGTGGCGTTAAACAATGTTAAATAACAAACAAACAAATTAGCTGACCACATGAAATTTTACTAGACAAGGGGAGATGAGTCCCAAACCTGCCATTTGTAGTTCTAGGTGTAGATGTTGCATTAAGTGCTGTGTGTGAGCTTGAGGCATTGTGTCTTAACTATTTGGATAATGTTTAACTGCGAGATTAATCAACATCATAAGATTTGAGTTAGCAGACAGACTGACAAAGTGTTGTAAGGTCTTTGGACCAGGGAAGGACGACTCAGGCCTAGCCACCCCAGTGCAAGTGCACCATTGAAGCATGCCAGTGGTAGTGTTCCAGATGGACTGGTTGTGGAAGTGTGGCCTATATACATTAAATGTTTAGGGCGATGTGACCCAGTTAAAGGGTGTTAAGTAGTTTTTTTATCCAGCCCATGAAATGGTCATTGTATGATAGACAGACATGCTGATTAAGAGATGTGTAAGAAAGGAAAAGAATAGGAATACACTGACAAACAACTTTTTTCAGCAGGGTTGGGCGGGTTGCCTCAAATGAAGGCTGTTTATCATTGTGGCTCAATCACCTGTCAGCTATGTCAAACACTTATGAGGTTTTTAGGATGGTTACACAATAGCAGAAATACAAGTTACGATTGCAGTTGTGATAGATAACATACCATAAACTCACTGCTACTCCCTTTGTGAACATGGTGAAATGAATTCATGAGTGACTAAGTGTGCTTCAGACGAAAACATGGATAGTTAACTTGTGATTGCTTCCTATTTGTCGTTCGTTTGAAGTCAATATCCTAAATAGCCTTAGATGGCTTGAAATAAATTATTCAAGACATTTACAGTATTTTGCCTTGGCTAGAAATAACCCCTAGACTGCTGGTTATTGTGCCATTTGTTCACAATACCCATGGTATACCCCCCAGGGAGCTGAGAATGACTGAATGAGATTCTGAATCGAGTCTTTACTCCGACCCATTGACGGGGGTATTAGTGGTAAATGAAATTGGTTGTTATCATCATCATCATCATCATCATCATCATTACCCAGAGAGTTTTGGTATTATGTTCTTTCTGTTTCTTGATCCTCATGACATGATTGTCAACTTTCTTCTTGTTCTGCCCATGCCTAGTTTGGAAGACTGTGTGTTTTAGTGCTGCCGTTTCCATGTTTTCAGCAGCATGCTGTCAGATTTATGCTGCAGTTTCTTAGTTCTGGGTGAAGTTCTCATCGTTTTATGTTGTGGATTCCTTGTGTATTGTAGGCATGTGACAGTTTTTCATTGCAGTCTGTCAGTTTTCATTAGTAGGCCTGGGATAGCCCAATTATTGTTATAACCCATGTTAGGAGTCAAACCTCAGAGGTTGTGGCATGACGAGCAAACACTTTTACCACTAGGCCACCCATCATTTGAAGTGACATCCCCATCTCATTCTCTCCTATCACCAACTTAAAACAGAATTCCTCTCGCTCATGAGCTTGAAAATGACTTTTACGAACGTGAGTTTGACATAGATCTACTTTTACAAACTGTGGCCTTGTACGAGTGAAAATTCACTACTCTTATAATGATCTTTGAACAAGAAAATATGTTGTCCTGGGTAGTGTGATAGGGGAAGGAAGTTATTATGCTATCAGGTGTTCCCATTTGTGTTGGAGATGGTATGTAACAAGACGAGGCAAGTACTGCCGATATCGCCGCTTGTTTCAAACATGAAAGAACAGGGTAATTTGATTGTACAGCAATTCTTGTTTGTACGGTTGTGACATGCAGATTGGTCTCAAAACAAGGACCAGACATTCACTATTTCTCATAATAGAATGGAGATCTAGACATGGAAAATCGAGGATTGGTTTTCTCATACCTTGTCGAAATTGTGTAGACTCCAGTTAGGCCAAAATAAGAAACGGCTTGCTTCAACAAGATTGACTCACATGAGTAAGTGTTGTGTCGTGGAGTACTCATGTTTTTGTGTTTCTCTTACAGATATATGGGCATTGGTCTCTCTACCCAGGGAGTCAACATGAACCGGCTGCCAGGTAAGTCTCATGCTCAGTATCATTGTTCATTTTGGTTGTAGATCCCTTTGCTGCTCCAGTGGTACCTGGGAATAATGCTGCCCCAGTGGCACTAGGTAATAATGCTGCTTCCCTGGTACCTGGGAATAATGCTGCTTCCCTGGTACCTTGGAATAATGCTGCTCCAGTGATACCTGGGAATAATGCTGCTTCCCTGGTACCTGGGAATGATGCTGCTTCCCTTGTACCTGGGAATAATGCTGCTTTAGTGGTACCTGGGAATAATGCTGCTCCAGTGGTATCTGGGAATAATGCTCCTTCCCTGGTACTTGGGAATAATGCTGCTTTAGTGGCACTAGGGAATAATGCTGCTTCCCTGGTACCTGGGAATAATTCTGCTTTAGTGGCACTAGGGAATAATGCTGCTTCCCTGGTACCTTGGACTGATGCTACTTTAGTGGCACCTGGGAATTATGCTGCTCCAGTAGTACCTGGGAATAATTCTGCTTTAGTGGTACCTGGGAATAATGCTGCTTTAGTGGCACCTGGGAATAATGCTGCTCCAGTGGTACCTGGGAATAATTCTGCTTTAGTGGTACCTGGAAATAATGCTGCTTTAGTGGTACCTGGGAATAATGCTGCTTCCCTGGTACTTGGGAATAATGCTGCTTCACTGGTACATGGGAATAATGCTGCTTTACTGGTTCTTGGGAATAATGCTGCTTCAGTAGTACTTTGGAATAATGCTGCTTTACTAGTACTTGGGAATAATGCTCCTTATCTGATACTTTGGAATAATGCTGCTTTCCAAAAGCATGAATTTGGATATTGCCTTGGCTATCAGGAAAATAATGAAATTTTAGAACCCAGGTGGCTTTCTTGCGAAAATGAGGCCTGCATTATATAGTCCTTTTGTTCAGATCCATACATCAATTTTTGTACATATAAATGTTGCTCAACTTAAAACATGCAATAATTTTGCTGTCTTGACAGTTGAATTTGCATTAAAGACAAGAAATGCCCCATTTGTCATGTTTGTATGGACTCATTTGCATATTTGTATTTTTATGCATCATATACATGTGTACACTTCTAAAGGTATGCAAAATGGCATAATCAACGGTTTTACTTACATTTATATACTTAATGATATTAGGTAAGTATGCAGCAGCATGTCAGAAGGTAGAGCAAGTTTATGTTTAACTGTCTGCAGTTTTGCTACGGGTGTTTTTTCCCCTGTTTTTGTCTAAATATTTGCATACTTGTGTTATATATATATATGTGCGTGTATATACAATGTATATACAAACAGGGCGGTCAGGTAGCCTAGTGGTTAAAGCGTTTGCTCGTCACGTCAAAGACCCGGGTTCGACATGGGTACAGTGTGTGAGGCCCATTCTCGGTGTCCCCCACCTTGATAATGCTGGAATATTGCTAAAAGTGGCGTAAAACCATACTCTCACTCACTCGCTCTTATACATACGTATACAAAGTGGCCTGGTCATTACGTTGTCGTGTTGTCACGACATGCAGTCAGGTGTCCCACACAGAGACAAAATGAAACAGGGTAGTTTCGGATATGTTTCGGATATGTTTCAGTCATATCCAACTGTTTTATATATTCGAGAAAAGACCCCAAGACACAAAAGTCTACAAGGGCAGATAAGGAAAATAATCCTCCAAGTGTCCTCACTTAATTGTTTTACGGTTTCTATGTCCATTCTTGCCTTCACTTGTAAAAGGCCTCAGCTATGCCCCAAACATGTGTGACTATCTGGCACTGACAAGGCCATCCCATAATATATATGTATGTATACTACTCAAAAGAAGTTAAAGAACACCTGATTTTTTCACGACTATAGTTGATCTGTCATGCCATCATGTCATGTCATTACTATAATCAAAAGAAAGTAAAATACAGTATCAGGTGTTCTTTAACATCTTTTGAGTAGTATACATTGGTGTCTGTTTCACCCATGTTCATAGTCAGATGTAAAAAGAACTTACAATACTTTAACCTGTTGTATAGAAATGACATTATGGGGCATAAAAACGCATAGTACTTACACTGATGCTCACGTGAGGCATTTATACAGAGTGTATGTGTGCATTAATAAGCACTTTTGGGCTATACATGAGTCTTTGGTCATAATGTTTATATATGTAATCAAATATATACAGAGAATTCCTGTTAATCAGACTTGGTTGGTTGCATATGATTATGTTGGATTCATGAGTTTGTAGGATAAATGAAATTCAGTAGTATCAATGTTTGTGATTGAAAATCGGACAACATGATAGATAGAAAAAAAAATGATTTGCAGAATATGTTTGTTAATCATGCAGCCTCTAATGCTTAACACAAGACTGCTGTTATGCTCTGTTTGACTCATTCAAAATACTTTTGAAAGCGTATGGTGGAATGGAAGTCAGCAGTTTGAAACTAGAAATCTGCTTTCTTAGTGACTAATGTTGACTTCCTGTTAGTCATTTTATTGATCGGTCAAAGTTCACAAAGGTTGTTCTGACATGACCTCTAATGGGATGTCCTCATTGGTAGTGAGTACTTATATCTGATTTTAATGAGATTATGGTAATCTAAACCTGTAGTTTATCCTGTTTTTATTTAAAGAATTAGTTATCTATTGTTAAGCTAGTTTATCTCTGCAGGTGTTGTAAGATGCAGCTACTAGCCGACTTGTCTTGCATCAAAACACGGGCTGTCTACTCACGGGCAGGTGACCATGGAGTATGCTGATCACTGTGTCGGATTAACGAGGCTGATTAATGATCGATTTCAGTAATTCGTTTGCAAATCAGGTTTGCAGAGTCAGAGTGCAAGACTGTTGGAATAACGGGTCTAAATAGCACTGATTTAATCGGTCCCTTCATTAGTGTCAGAAAACCCCAATTGTCAGATTAACAAGGCTTGACTGTATGTGTTTACCTTTAGAATAGGAATGCCCTCTGAAGTGGTGGTGGGAATGTAAATGTCTGTGCAGCATGACTCTTAACGAATCACTTCTTCAATTGGCATTTAGAAGTTGGTGTGATGAACAAGGGAGAAATATAATGGCTATACAACTTCTTTATTGCAATGACTGCGATGTTTCAGTGCAGATACTAACACCATTATCAAGCAAGTGATGTACAGAACTGTGAATTAAGAAGGTTATATGCATGTGGATAATTGATGTTTATACAAGATTGTACGATCATAGATTGATGTTTACACAACAGATAAGGCTGAAGTATGAAGCCAGATGATGTAAAAGCTATACAGTGATTGGTTTAGACAAGTTGATTAGAAGACAGTATTAAGATGAAAAGGATTAAGATATATATATGCTAGACAATGGACAATGGAAATGAGATTAAGATTGGTTAGTGATGAGCTCATGGTAGGCCATGGGGACATAATATCCTTGATCTCTGTTGATGACTGGTTGGGACTTTTGATGTGGATGGCTTCTTGGAGTTTCCTGACCTTGCAGTTGGTATGATTTTTGGTGAGGTTGTTCATGTTGTTCCAATGGATGTTGTGGTCTTGATGGGCTTCGATATGGTCACAGATGGAGGACTTGTTTGATGTTCCTTAATTCTTGGGAGAGGCCTTGATGTTTCTCCAACATAACGAATCATCGGCCATTGTTTTTGTGTGATCTATACACCTCATGGCTGTCTGGCATTGACAAGGCCAGCCTTGTTACATGCAGAAGGCATCCTAAAACTTTCAAAACCTGTAATTTACATATGTTATTGTGGGACATTAAGTTAAAATGCAGCATTATGCTAACAAGTGTACATCACACCAGTGTACATGTGTCTACATTGCCATATGGACACAAACTAAGATCAGGAGATGTGAGGAAGTGAATACTTATATTGGGCGACAGTTGGGCCCTCACTCTATGAAGATTCCTACTCCAATGTACATCACACCAGTGTACATGTGTCTACATTGCCATATGGACACAAACTAAGATCAGGAGATGTGAGGAAGTGAATACTGATATTGGGCAACAGTTTGGCCCTCACTCTATGAAGATTCATACTCTAATGAACTCACACAAAGTTGAAGTCAATTCTTCATTATGTTGCCTCCATGTCAGATATGATGATTTCTCAGTGGGAGAATAAATCCCTTACATACCCTGGATTTTTGAGTAAGAGAATATAACGCTTATTCCCACTATGAAGCAAAAAAGCTGCCTGTTGTTAATGTGTCACATTAAGGTCATGTGACATAGCACAAGTTAACCTCAGCTCATTCTAAGGGCTGTTTTCTATCAGTTTTCAGTTTCTTTTAATTCTTTTACAATGGCTGATTGAACATGTCAGTAAGATAATTTCGTTGTAGCAGTATCATTCGGGGTATATGTCGTTTTATCATATAAAACCACATATGCCCTGAGTGATACTGCTACAACTTATATTGTGTTTGACTGTTGAATGAACCTGTGGGAAATCTAGGTAAGGATTAGCAACCTTTGTGTTGTTGTAAGAAGCATCTAAATGGATCGGATGGTATTAGCGGAACTATTGTTGGGTAATGAAACTAAACTATTTTTATTTTTTAGGTTGGGACAAACATTCCTATGGTTACCATGGTGATGATGGCAACTCATTCTGCTCTTGTGGAACTGGCCAACCATATGGCCCAACCTTCACAACAGGCGATGTGATTGGCTGCTGCCTCAACCTCATTGACAACACTTGTTTCTACACCAAGAATGGTGTAAACCTTGGTAGGCCCTCATTTATTCATTATGGTGATCAGCTCAGATTATCATGTACAACATATGTCTATTGAATGATGATGATGATGAGGAGGTTGATGATGATGATGATGATGAGAAAGCATAATATGCCTATGAACGAGCACTCTGTGCTAAGTTAGTGATAAGGAAGTTGGAGGTAGGGACGTCACTTCTGATATAAAGCAAAAGCAGCAGGGTATTTGTCTTAAAAGAAGGGGGATATGTCTTGATAATAGAGGCTGGATATTGATGATAATTATCAGAGTTTCCCAGTTTCAATCTGGGGATGGTGATATGGCTGGAATGTTGCTAAAAGTAAAAGTGACAAAATTATATTCTCAGTTTCACTGAGATTTCAGACAAGGTTGTGTTGAACTTTAGTTGCTCTGAGGCAGATGCAAGACTCAAGTCCTCATGACTGTGTGTCTGCTGTTTCAGGTGTGGCTTGCACAGACCTCCCGGTACGTATACATTCACATTATTCATGGACAGTTGTTGATGTCTTCCATGTTCTTGGGGCACAGGTGGCCCATCAGTCTTATGTGTGACAATTAGATGTACAGAGTTGTCTCCCTTACCTGTGCCAGGATCCACAGGTTATTTGTTTTAATCCAACATTTACTCTTATTTGTCCTTGGCGTGACAGTACATGAACTATGATAAGTTGTTCATGGTAAACCTTTTGAACCTTCAGCCTGTCTTCACATATATAGCTGCAGTTCTGTTGAATGGGGCATCACTCATGGACACTTGTTCTGATCGCAATGTTCTGATGTCAAATGGGGCGGTCGGGTAGCCTAGTGGTTAAAGCGTTCGCTCATCACGCCGAAGACCCAGGTTCCATTCCCGACATGGGTACAATGTGTGAAGCCCATTTCTGGTGTCCCCCGCCGTGATATTGCTGGAATATTGCTAAAAGCAGCGTACAACCATACTCACTCACTCACTCACTCTGATGTCAAATAAGAGATTGAGTGAACCTAAGGCCAGAAATGCCTGTCTGTCAGTTAGCTTTGTTTTCAGTACAGGGAATTCCACGTAAACTTTTATAGAATGGGATGCATGACATTACAAGTCAAAGATTGTTGATTTTGTGTTTTGTGTTTCAGCCCAAGCTGTACCCCACTGTGGGCCTGCAGACTCCAGGAGAAGTTGTGGAGGCCAACTTTGGACAGAGTCCCTTTGTCTTTGACATAGAGGATTACATGAAGGTCAGAACCACGTATCTCATTTCCTTACTGACAATCGAGAAAGTCAAATCACTGTATCTCACCTCCTTACTGACAATCTTGACAGTCAAGTAAATGTAGCTCACCTCCTTACTGACAATCGTAACAGTCAAATCACTAGTTTACCTTCTTACTGACAATCGTGACAGTCAAATCACTGTATCTCACCTCCTTACTGACAATCTTGACAGTCAAGTTAATGTAGCTCACCTCCTTACCAATAATCGTGACAATCAAATCACTGTAGCTCACCTCCTTGCTGACAATCGTGACAGTCAAATCAATGTAGCTCACCTCCTTACCAAAAATCGTGACAGTCAAATCACTGTAGTTCACCTCCTTACTGACAATCGTGACAGTCAAATCACTGTAGCCCACCTCCTTACTGACAATCCTGACAGACTAATCACTGTAGCTCACCTCTTTACTGACAATCGTGACAGACTAATCACTGTAGCTCACCTCCTTAATGACAATTGTGACAGTCAAGTTAATGTAGCTCACCTCTTTACTGACAATCGTGACAGACTAATCACTGTAGCTCACCTCCTTAATGACAATTGTGACAGTCAAGTTAATGTAGCTCACCTCTTTACTGACAATCGTGACAGACTAATCACTGTAGCTCACCTCTTTACTGACAATCGTGACAGACTAATCACTGTAGCTCACCTCCTTAATGACAATTGTGACAGTCAAGTTAATGTAGCTCACCTCCTTACTGACAATCGTAACAGTCAAATCACTGTAGCCCACCTCCTTACTGACAATCCTGACAGTCAAATCACTGTAGCTCACCTCTTTACTGACAATCGTGACAGACTAATCACTGTAGCTCACCTCCTTAATGACAATTGTGACAGTCAAGTTAATGTAGCTCACCTCCTTACTGACAATCTTCACAGTCGAATCACTGTAGCTCACCTCCTTACTGACAATCGTGACAGTCAAATCACTGTAGTTCACCTCATTTCTGTCAAATCTAACATTCAAATCACTGTAGTTCACCTCGTTTCTGACAAATCTAACATTCAAATCACTGTAACTCACCTCATTACTGACAAACTAGTCAGACAAATCACCATAGCTCACCTCCTTGATGAAAGTCATGATAGTCAATTAATGTAGCTCACCTCCTTACTGACAATCCTGACAGTGAAGTCACCCTTTAGGCCCCCGTATTTAAGTTTTGTCATAAAAGCCAAAATATGGGTGGTTACATTGTGTGAATGGGATAGCAACCTATGCTAGCCATAAGAGGCAGTGCTTGACACTAACACTGGTCCACTGGTCCACTGGTCCAATTCTAGTATTTTTTCGTAAGGTTCAGTTATATTAATTAAATGGTGGACTAGTGTTATTTTGGGGACGAGCAAAGTACTTTAAGTTTGTACGACTTTTGAAATCAGCGATAGATTGTGCCTGAGCACTAAGCATCATTGTGACTAGTAGAGATCCAACAGGACAAATTTTGGTAAGTGTCAAGGACTGAAGAGGCAACATGATGGATGAGGTGGTCAAGCTCAGTGACTTGGTTGACACTGTTTCATCATACACAGATGGCGTTGCCCATTGCTCACTACTGTATTTTCAGTCCAGATTTGACTTACGCGCTCTCATGCAGCTTTAACAAACCAACAAGCAACAGATTGTCTGCTATCAACCAGTGGCCAGCCTTGTCCAAACTCAGAATCATAAAGAGTTTGATGTTTCTACTGTTGATATAATATGTACATGCCTTGAAGCAGGAGTATAAACTAAGTTAAGTTAACCATCTGATTTCTTTTGTACAGGAATGGAGAATGAAGACTGGCCTGACCATCTCTCGTTTCCCAGTGTCAGACCGACGAGGGGAGTGGTCAGCTGCTCTTCACAGGTTAGCAGGATTATTCATTTGGAGTTTTCTGTTTTAAACCAAATAGATGGCATTACATAACATTAAATTTTAGAAATAATTATCTTTGCACGTGTCTGATATATCTGATTTGCAATCTGTTAAATTCAGATATTTCTTTTGCCTGAATAATACCATTAATGGCATTGGAAGGGAACGTTTTATTGTCTGAAGGAAATTGAGCAGTTTTTGGCCCTCATACATGGCTAGGGTTTGAAATCCAACATTAGCATGTTGAAAACTGTATCTAAAATCAATTAGTATCAAGTCTTTCAAATTTGAATGAATTAAGACTTAATCAGGCCAGAAAAGTATTATCACTTTTTTATCACAAACTTTCTTACTGCATTGTGCCTATTACTATATCTTCTTGTCCTTGATACACTGATTATTCTTTTTAAACCTCTAAAGGTGAATTTATAACAAGAAATTAAATTGCTCTGGCCTTATGAACCCTTTCAAAACAAGTTTTTTTAACTCAAATTTGTGATGATTATGGTAGGATTCGGCCTATATATATCAACATAAGAACTTTGTAACTAAAATTAGTTTCTATCCCTAACTATTGTCAAAATTGCGCTGTGGGGCAGTGGGTAGCCTAGTGGTTAGAGTGTTTACTCGTCAGGCTGAAGGCCCAGGTTAGATTCCTCACAATGTTAAAGCCCTGTCGGCATATTGCTGGAATATTGCTAAAAGCGGTTAATACCATACACACTCACTAATCAGTGCATCATAGTGTTTGGAATAGTCAGTATTTTGTCCTATGTGACAAGACACAAGTGAAGGAGGCATTCTAGTCAGTATTTCTTGTCTTCAGGATTGTGTCGACATACCTAGTCCACCATGGCTATTGCTCAACAGCAGAAGCCTTCACCAAGAGCACCAGTCAGCCCATAGATGAAGATCTCGCTTCTATCAAGAACAGACAGAGTAATGTCGAATGCTGATGTTGCTTGTTGATAGTTACTCTCAATTCTTGAAATGTGATGTATTGTTTATGTATCTGAAATCTTGTGTAGCAATTGAGTTGATTGGATTCTGATTGGTAGCTTATAAATCATGTATTAATGACGTGACTTTCATTGACTTGTAAACAACGTGCAGCTTTTCGCTTTGTAGCAGGGTGCAAGAGATTTATTTTTCTAGTCAGAAATCCACGTGCAGCCTGTTTTTGTGGTGGGGTATAAGGGATTTATTCTCTCGTTAAAAATATATTTACATCACAGGCGGGATACCTAGTAATGTATCAGGATCATGTGAACCAATCAGATCTCAATATTCTGACATGGAGGGAAGATAATCATGATGTGCCTCTGATTGAAACAATGGCGTATCCATGAAAAACAATATTAAAGAATCATACGTTTTGTCTGAAATTGAAAACATTTGATGAAGGTGTCAAGTCTGCTAATACCAAGGCAACAAATTGTAGTTGATACTCCCTCAAACCAAATTTTTGTCCTCTGGTCGATGATTATCACAAGTAAATTTATGTTTTGTGTCTGCTAGGGATGGATAAGCTGTGACCCCTGTTGGTTTTCAATAGCAGGATATGCCCCCATTACCCCATGAAAAGAGTATGAATCCTGTTAATAATTATAAATGAGAACTTTTGCTATTTTCGGGGAAAGAAATCATAGGGGTAGTTGGGTCCTTGATATTTGCTACCTTAGTATTTGAATCTACAGACCAGGGCCCCATTCCTCGAATGATCGTAGCACCAGGTGATCGTAACTCCCATACTTTAACAGAGACTTATGACTTATGACTTACCATCACTTTCTGGAATAGGACCCTTTTATGTATTTAATGTTTTACAAGGGTTATGACAAGGAACACTTTAATTTCATGTTTGATTTTGAGTTTGAGATGTTTAATTTTGTGTTGTGCAGGAATCCAAAAACTGGTACTGGCGGGGCGAATGGGTGAAGCCATCGAGGCTACCCAGCAGCTGTACCCGGGACTCCTCGAGAGGAACCCCAACCTTCTCTTCACACTCAAGTGCAGACAGTTCATCGAGATGGTAAACGGAACAGACAGTGAAGTGCGCGGTGCAGCAATCCGAAGCCCTAAGTCACGACACAGTAGTGGTAGCAGTCGGTCCTCCCCCAGCATGAGCCCAGTGCATTATGGGTGTGGCGGGAACACACTCCACCCCCAGAGGACGTCTGGGGGGTCGGGGAGCAGCAGTCCAAGCCGCTCGTCTACAAAAAGTCACAGCTCAGGCAGTTCCTCCTCCCAAAACTCCCACAATCAGTCAGACTCTCGTCGGGGGGAGGAGGAGATGAACGCTGCAAACTCTGATCACATGTCAATGAACGGCAGTTCGCGACTAATTGACAATGAGGACGTTGAAATGAGCGAAGGTCATGTAGAAGATGGTGTGATAACCAATGGCACGTCAGGGGGAGGGGTGTGCATGAACGGGAACTCACACCCATGTGATGATGAAGATATGGGTAAGATGAACATCATTAGGATGCTGTTGGATTACCGTTGTGATATTTAGGTTATTTATTGGAAATGTTTATATTCAGTGTTTTCAGTCTTTTGACATATAGAGTGATGTTTCGTGAATAATGCTGTTAGTATCCCTGTGTTATGGGTTTTCGGACGCTTATTAACCATTTGCTCTTTTCTTACTTATCATGCTAATCACAAGAACAACTGTAAAACACCTCACTCACTTATAAAAGATGACTTTAAAAACAGGCCATCATCTGAGTATTTACAATGTCACAGCGTGAGTAATCGTGATGAACATGGCTATATGAGAACTGATAATCTCCTAAAACCTATGATCAGACTATATATTTGATTTGAATCCTTTTTATGCAAATATTATTGGGGATGTATTCATTCCATTTGGATATTAAGACCATTACTTAGTGTTCAGTTCAATAAAATTCTGAAGCAGATTTAGACCCTCAGAATATGTCCTCAAATGGCTGCATAAATTATTGTACATGGATTGATGACCACCAGGGAAGACAAACTTTCAGCTGTGATGTCAGCAGATAGTTTACTTGGATACCATACCTGTGCATGTACCCGTGAAGATCCAGGTTACAATAGGTCTTCAGCAACCCACGCTTGCTCTAAGAGGCAACTATGCTTATCGTAAGAGGTGACTAACGGGATCTGGTGGTCAGTCTCGCTGACCTAATTGTTTGATGCTTGTCATCGTATACCATTTTTGTGGATCAATGCTCATGATGTCAATTACTGAATTGTCTGGTCCAGACTTGAGTATTTACAGACCACCATCATATAGCTGGAATATATCTGAGTGCATCATTAAACAAACCTCTGTGCATGAAGATCTGAGAACCCCTCCTTAAAGCTTGTATTTACAGTATGACAAAATACCTTGAAAATGCCTTAAATTGGCAACCAAATTCAACACTGTCAAATAAATATGACGTTTCACATGAAAGTCAAGTGAGCTTATATCATGGCACATTGTACATTGTTAAAGTTTATCTCCCTTGAAACCACATGGCCTATGCAGCTGAAACTTGTATGGATGATGAATAATGGCCTCAGTATTTTTATAGTGTATTTAGACATATAAAAGTAGCCATTCTGACAATGAAATAAATCTGTTTAAAAACACAGTGGGATCCTGACTTGAGCCTTTAAAAGAGTGAAAGGTGGCTTGAAAAGGTCTTAAGAGGTAGCAGATGTTGTGTTTGGACCATGTGCTGTAATGTAAAATCCATTGTACTCACTTTCCCATATACAAGGCTTGTCAGTTAGTTTTGAATTGACACGATGGTTCACTGGATGTTGTAGAGGTTGACTCTCCCTCAAGTCGCAGACAGATGTGTGGAGGCAGCCAGGCTGCTGTACAGAAGATGCTTCAGTTCGGCCGGGATCTCAAGACCATGAGTATACACCTCCGCAGGCAGTATGGCAAGAATGATGCAAACAAAAAAGCATTACAAGTAAGTGCTGAAGCAATTGGCCCTATGATGGAGAGTAGTAATACTACTGTGCTGAAGTGACACTGATATGGATAAGGGACAAGATTGAATTTCTGGTCTTACTGCCAATTAATTATTTGATTAAAATGTTATGGCTACATTTAGAGTCCAATTTACTTACTCGGTACTCAACACCTTATTACTCGACCCAACCCAGGTACCCACTGTAGGTTTCAAGTGTTGGGTGCATAATGTCCGATTGGGGACTGTTTTGCCTGAGCCTTGGCAAATGCTATTTACATACACGTATAAAATGAACAGATCATGCATACGCTGAAGTCGACTGAAGTTTTTTCTTTACTCAAATGTATAAAAGACAGAAACAGTGCGTGCATCGTCAGAAAGAAATGGAAACATAAGTGACTTTTATTGTTATTGTATTTAAGCAATATATTATGTGACTAACCACGGGTCCGGGTAGTCCTGTGGATACCCTGGTCCTACACAGGACCCACCCGACCCGAGTACCCGAGTTACCCGAGTTACCCGTCGCAGCCCTACTAGAGTTTACACATACAGTATTTGAAAAGTATACTGAAAGTCAATCTAAATGGAGTTTGAATGTCAAGATGAGAAGGTATCTGTTGTTTTATTGCGTGAATAGGAGCAAAAAAACAAAGATCACACTGAACCCATCACTTTCACCATCTTACTGACTTACTTACTGATGTCAGTTTGTTTGTTTGTTGTTTAACGCCGCATTCCGCAATATTCCAACTATATGACGTTGGTCTGTAAATAATCAAGTCTGGACCAGACAATCCAGGGATTGACGTAATGAGCATTGATCCACGCAATTGGGATATGATCACATGCATCAACCAAGTCAGTGAACCTGACCACCCAATTCGATTAGTCGCCTTTTACGACAAGTATAGTCCCCTGTTACGGCAATCATGGTTTGCTGAAGACCTGTTCTACCTCGGATCTTCACAGGTCTACTGATGTCAGTACACCAATTTTGGTGATATCATTTCAAATCAGGAAAGCAATCTGTAGGTGTTTGAATCCTGGATCAATCATCTTTGTCAACTGATGTGTGTTAGCAACTAGCAGGTGCTAGTGCTGAAGGGTTTAAATATAGTGTTATCATCACTTTGGGGTCTTTTTGTCAGATAGGTTGACATGTTCCCTTAAGTAATTCAAAAACAGTTTAAAGCAGCATCAGACCCAACACATTGAACCAGACTGCCATTGTCTTTGTACTGTTAAAAACTTTGTTGATCCAAATTTTCTCACTTTGTTGTATGAGGGGGCACATGTTGCCAAGTAAAATATCCTGTACAGAGTTGCATTCTGTAGGCATGATTGGGGGTTTGAATTACAGATTTTGCTACGATTGTGTTTCTAGGTTTATTGGCAGCATTCCCATGCTTGTGTGTTTTACTGAAGTGGTAATCATCTTTGAGCTTTCATCTTACTTCATGCTGACATGCCAGCTGAAATACTGTTTAGCTGTGTTAAACCCCTGAATCGTGAAGATCCGGGTTAGAAATAGTCTTCAGCAACCCATGCTTGTTGTAAAAGGCGACTAACAGTATTGGGTGGTCAGGCTATCTGACTTGGTTGATGCATGGCTTCGTATCCCAATTGTGTAAAGTTTTGCTCATGATGTCAATCACCAGATTGTCTGGTCCAGACTCAGTTATTTACATTATTTAACAGTGTCACTCACCTGGATAATTGGTGAGCGTGGCATTTAACAACAAACAAACAAACAAACAAAATTTAAACTCACCTCACTCATTCATATCAATACCTATTCTTTAAAGCCAAGGGGTGGTTGGGTAGCCTAATGGTTAAAGCGTTTGCTCTCACGCCGAAGACCCGGGTTCGAATCCTGACATGGGTACTATGTGTGAAGCCCATTTCTGGTGTCCCCTGCCGTGATATTGCTTGAATATTGCTAAAAGCAGCGTAAAACCAAACTCACTCACTCACTCTTTAAAGCCAAAAATGTTAGACCTCTTACACAATAGGACAGATTGAGGAGGGTGAGCTACATGTGTTGTTGTTGTGTGCAGGATGCCTTCAGCTTGTTAGCATACGCCGACCCCTGGAGCAGTCCTGTCGGTGTGCAGCTGCAGCCGGTGCAGAGGGAACCTGTGTGTGCTGCCCTCAACAGTGCCATTCTAGGTCAGTACACGGGGGACTTGGTCATGATAAGGACCTTCTTTGGTCCACTGTTTACAAATGGACAGTTTGATACATACATAAGTTTTTGACAAATTTTTATGCAAATCTCAGACATACTCAAATGACTGACAACTGGCTGCTTTTAGTTCCTACTCTTGCACATTTTGGACTTCTGATATGACAAGTACATACATGTGGCTTAAATGAGTTAAATGTTGATTGTTTCCTATGAACAAGTCTGAGACCCAATATGATTATTTTACCAGATACTTGCTTAATCTACATGTCCTTAGGAGACTCTTAGGAAAACCAGTTTGGGGCAAGAATTTGCTCATGTTCAAATATAATTCCCCAAATCCTCAACTGTGCATTAGTGTTGTTATTTACATGAAAGTGTTCCAAATATTATTCATATGAACGCTTCTGATAACTTCCCTAACTGTTTTTAACAGATTTGATCGAATTCTCAAATTATACAGATCCTGTGAGCCAAGAAAGGCCCTTTTGTTATCCCACCGTGTTGAATCAGGGGGATGTCGTGATCACAATGTCCGTCAGTCTTTCTGTCTGTTTTCCATTTCCGGAGCAGAACTTCCAAACCGTTAAATATTTCTTGTTGAAACTTGCTATTGATCAGTCTAGTGGGGAACTAGTGCCTTTTGATGATTTGGGATTTTTAATTTTTTTTACAAGTTGGACTTTACTGAAAATGAGTATAGTGCTTGTTTGGAGCAGAACTCCAAAACCATTGAATATTTCTAGATGAAACTTGTTATTTAGACCAGTCTAGTGCTGAACTGCTGCCTTTTGATGATTTGGGATTTGGAAACTGAAAGCATTATTTTCTTCTTCTCTATGCTGAAGGTATCCATTGGCAATGAAATCAAAATTGGAGTATAAGTAGCCAAACTCCATTTCTGATTTGCACCAGATTTGCATCTCCTGATGACTCTTTTTTGTTTTGATGTATAATGCCAGGGGTATCTTATGTGTAAGCACTTTTCTAAACAGGCTAACTGGTTTTTGCTGACATGTTCCATTAGATATGACTTTGTAATATCTCAGGTATTAAGGTGTTAATCTTTGTAAGTATCAAACTTATTTGTTAAGACAATGTCTTCAAGGTAAGTATTGCACAGTTCATTAGTCAGATACAGGGGTGTTTGTAGCATTTCTTACCTGTGATGACATGTGTTTGATATTTTTTTTAAATTACCATTTCAGAATCCTATGGATTACCAAAACAACCTCCATTAGAACTAGCCATAGCTCAGGCCACCCAGTGCATGAGGCTTATGTCCAAAGAGGGCCTAGGAGCTTGCGCCTTTGCCAGTGTATCAGACTTTCTCCACTAGTGCCAGGGTTAGGGTCACGCCCACACATGTCAACAGGGTTGGCCTCGATCTGATAAACATTGAAGCCTTCCTCCCTCCCAGCACTTATGAGTGGCTCTGGTTGTTAGGAGAGTGACTGTGGTAACTCTACGTGAGTAGCTCTGGTTGCTGTGTGAGTAACTCTAGTAACTACATGAGTGACTGGTGATTACTTGAGTGACTACATGGGTGACTGGTGATTACGTGAGTCATTCTACGTGAGTGACTCTGGTGGTTATATGAGTGACTGTACATGAGTGACTGGCGATTATGTGAGTGTCTCTGGTGATTACGAGAGTGTCTCTGGTGATTACGAGAGTGTCTCTGGTGATTACGTGAGTGTCTCTGGTGATTACGTGAGTGTCTCTGGTGATTACATGAGTGACAGGTGATTACGTGAGTGTCTCTGGTGATTACATGAGTGACAGGTGATTACGTGAGTGTCTCTGGTGATTACGTGAGTGACACTACGCGAGTGACTCAGGTTGCTAAGTGAGTGACTCTATGAGAATTACTCTGGTAATTACGTGAGTGACGACAAGGGTGACTCTGGTTACTGTGCGAGTGACTGTCAAGTATGTGAGTGACTGGTGATTACGTGAATGACTGTGTGTGTCGTGTCTGTTGATTACGTGAGTGACTCAGATTGCTATATGACTGACTCTCATAATTACGTGATTGACTGGCAATTACATGAGTGACTGGTGATTATGTGAGTGATTCTGGAGACTATGTAACTCATGAGTGACTCTACGTGAATGACTCTAGTCACTACATGAGTAACTCTGGTGACTGCATGATTGACCGGTTGCCATGTGAGTAACTCTATGTGAGTGGCTACCAAGGATGGTGATGAGTGCACCAAGAATGATCATCAACTTGATGGCAAACACACTCCAAGTTCAGTGGTACAAGTTCCTGTATGATTGTACCTGTTGGGATGTGCAAGCTGGATTGCGCTGGCCACATTCAGCGTTCATAACGATGCAGCATTTAGCCAGGTTACCAGAAGGACGGCTGGGATAGAAAGGTTCACAGACACAAGGCCCTGTGTCTGACACACCTGTGATAATCTAAACGTTTTGATGTGCTTTGGAATCTTTGGGCAGCAACACAAAGGTAGAGAATGAGCATCTTGCTGGACTGGCCTCTCAAGGACAGCTGAATGACTGTGACCTATGTACACAAACACTTGAAAGTTTTTACAATTTTAATCTAAAAGAAGCTGTGTCAACAAATATATTTTCAAAATTAATTATTAACAGGAAAACACATTTGACCTACCAGCACACCATCCAGAGTGATTATATTCAAGATGTACTTTATCCACTGATGGTATTGAGGAATACAGGTTGTAAAGCAACATGCCCTATCATGAGATCTTATGTAAAGTGTATGCATTAATGATACATTTCACCATGATCAAGGATTAACGAAATAAGTATCAATATGGTCAGGCAAAATCATGATAGACAAAAGTGGAAACCTTGGTTTCATAATGCATCAAGCACAAGAGGTTTTGAACCAGCTGTGGTCCAAACCTTGATAAAATGATACTGTAAGAGATATAAATTGCGACCTGCCCCATCTCCCACTCCATAACTATTATGCTTTTGTCAATTAGGAAAATACATTAAATACATGTTTTGACAGATCACTTGGAAAAGTGTTTTTCATTTTACTTTTATTTGACGAAGTTGTATTGGTGAAATAACACACTTTCGCAAACAGTGCTTATAAAAAAGAGCCTACATATTTGGATATAAAGACAAGATTTGTCTTTTGTGATGCAGATAAACACTAGATGGAGGATAACATCAAAATGATCTGTTGAATTGTCTGAATAAAACAGAATGGTGCTTCAAGCATACTCTCTTTTCCAACAAACACCCCACCCCCACTCCCACCCCCACTCCCATCCCCATCCCCATCCCCATCCCCTGTCATGGGTTGTATTATGAGTTCAAAATATTCCCATTTTGGTTGCTGTTTATGTTGATTTCAGTATCAACTATCTTTTTGTTATTAAACATAATAACATGTTATCTGTGTATGTATCATTGTATTGATACAAGTTTTCATGATACAATAGTTGTATCATTCATGGCACCAAGTATCACATTGTTTGGACATGTGGGAGAATCATTACAGCCGTAGGATTAAACCACAGAGCAAAAAAAATCTGCTGCTGATGCCAAGTACTGCTAAGCTGAAAAAAAATACTGAAAAAAATGCAGTGTAAAATAGTTTCCATTTCCATGTCAGGGACAGGTTGGAATATCCAGCATGACACTATGCTATGCATAGTCACTGAGAATATATTTATTACATGTTTGTTACTTATGAAATCATGTGTATGAGTGGCATTAACTGACTGCCCAAGAATTGTTTGTGTTTTGAAAGACGGAAACTTCTGCACTGTTGAGGTGTTTCAGTCTCCTCAGAACTTACATGATAGGGTGTGACCATTTCTTCTGATTGATGGGATGTCATTTGTGTGCTGCATCGTAGAGCTATGAAACATCCCTAGGATAAGGTTTTATTCTTAACATTGCTTCAGACTAGTTGTAATAAACACAATATGGATAGCTGAAATAATTCACGTTCTACTCCACAGCATGTGCCTGTCATTCAGTCAGTTTGATGCAGTTACATTGGATTGGTTTTGTGTGAATATACATGTGCTAAATTTTCAAATATTTGATTTTGCAGACAGTTCATATTTTGCATTTATGTGGTCAGTGGGTGGTTAAAGGAAAGTGCCAGTGACTTCACTCCCATCTTTTCCCAATCCGTAGTCCACCCTCATCCACAGCCTTTCCAGATCAGCGGCTCATCCATATCAGCTGCCCCCCCATCAGCAATCCACCCCATCTCCAATCAGCAATCCACCCCATCCCCAATCAGCAATCCACCCCATCCCCAATTAGCAATCCATCTCATCAGAAGCCCAACTCCCTCAGCAACTCCTCCCCTAGTCAAGAATCCATCTCAGACCACCCCCATCAGTAGCACACCCCTTCAGTGACCCACCCACATCAGCAGCGACCCACTCCCATCTGCAGTCCACCCCATCAGTGACCTACCCCTTTAGTGCCCCACCCACAGCAGCAGCGACACTCGCACCCCAGCAGCTACCCACTCCCATCTGCAGTCCACCCCATCAGTGACCCACCCCTTTAGTGCCCTACCCACAGCAGCAGCGACACTCGCACCCCAGCAGCTACCCACTCCCATCTGCAGTCCACCCCATCAGTGACCCACCCCTTTAGTGCCCCACCCACAGCAGCAGTGACACTCGCACCCCAGCAGCTACCCACTCCCATCTGCAGTCCACCCCATCATTAGCGACACACCCACCTCATCAGTGACCGTGACTATTGACAGTGCAGGAGCTTCCACCTCATTGTTTCGTACCTGGATTAACATTACTGCTATGTATTAGCTGGATGATCTTTGTCTATCGATTGTACAGATTCTAGTGATATGCTGACATGTTGATATTATGGGAATGTACAGGGAATTGTTGACAAATGTTTTGTTTCTCCAAATGTTTTTTCCTTCTTCTAGTGTAGCGATGCTGATGAAGCACCTTTAGATCAGACCTTGACACAGTTGACGGATTAACCATTGGCCTCATAATTCTCAGGCCATACCCCTGTGTAAATCACGGCAACTGAGATTCATTATCATTGTTTGACATTATGTCCAGAAAATGTTCTAGTCTAGCTGAACCAGAGCTAGCCTTATACTGGAAACAGCAGAAATATAGTAGACATATCATGCGAACAGTAAATCTGCAGTCTTGAATTGTGGGCAGAAACTCCTGTACCAAGAATAGATGTAGCCTGCAGAAAATGGTAAACGTTCCCAAATTGGAATTAAAGATTTCCCAATTCAGGCTATCATTAAATTTAACATAACATGTTGTAGCTTTGCTTACCGGTATTTGACTTTGTTAGACATTATTGCTTTGAATGCAATGTTAGAATATTTCAAAATGTAAGTTTAGCAGAACTGTCCAAAATTCCCAATTTATGACCGAAACATTCATCTCCCATTTTGCCAGTTAAGGTTCCTTGATATGAAATTCCTAGATAAGTCCCAAAATATATGCAGAGCTTCAGATTTATTTGAATAAATATTCATGACCAATTACCCTTTCCAATTGAAATATAGGTGATAGAAGTATCAGAAACATAGGGCTAAGTTATCAGAACTATAGGGGTCAGATATTGGACATATTGGTGTCCGGTGCCAGAAGGATAGGGGTTGAGGTATCGGACATACCGCGGTCAGGTGTAAAAAATATAGGGGTCCGCTACCATGAATGTAGGTCAAGACACCTAAAATCATCAGAAACGGAGGGTGATTTTTTTTGTCTGGGGGTCAGTGACCAAGACTCCAGTGTAATCTGAAGCACTGTATATATAATATGCCAAATATGTTTCTATGGTTTTCTTTTTCTCCATGTAGGTTTTAAGACATATAGATATGATCTGGTTCAAATAAAAAAACTGAAGGTGATCAGCTCAGTGAATATTTTCAACAGCTGATTTCATCCAAAACAATCATGTTCAGTAAACACTTGATTTACACAGAGCTATGGACCAGAAACATACCACCTATGTGACACTTTGACATGAAGAAGTCATTGTTAATACAGCATTCATCAAACCATCCCTGATTAACATCCCAATGTTGGAGTATCCCGCTGCCGCAATCACAACTAGGACTCCAAAAGACTTCCTTCTCCTCATCCACTGCAAGACTCCCATGGAGCAGAGACTGTTATGGACGAGTGTTTAATTTATTAATTTGTGATAATGATTTTAATTAGACTCATTGAGAATGTATGTAGTTTCAATATTTTATTATCCTGATTACACCTCTGAAATGGATAAATTGAGGGTTACTATTATGCCTATTGTGAGAATGTGTGATATATGATAATAAATTACAAAGTTTGTACATGAGGTCTCTTGTGATTGTCCTTTTTCTATTGTTCACAGTTGTCAGGGGCCAATCAAAATCTTGGGTGATCTGGGAATGTACCCAAACCAATCATTTTGCTCAAAGGAAAGCGTGGGAGGAACATTTTTACTGTTTTCTCAGACCCCTACTTCAAAGAGAAACATGTTGTGTTGCCACAGTTACTTGATTTCCACCCTGTAGGGGAGTCTTCAGCGACCTGCTTTTAAATGGTGATTTAATGGATCGGGTGGTCAGATTTTGGTGAATTCGTTGGAAGCGTGTCAACATACCCCGATGGCATGATTGTTGTGCATTATATCAATCACTGGGTTCCAGTCCAGACTTGATTATTTACAGGCCGCCTTTCATATATAGCAACAAACAAGAATGGCAATTAGAAATATCTCTCTCTCTCTCACACACACACACACACACACACACACACAAACAATATCAGATGCTTGGTCCTATTAGCAACTGTCATACATCAGTATCCTTTGTCTGATTGGTGAAAAGAAATCTACAAAATGTCATATCAGCCATTGTCATACTTCCTGTGTTAAACTGCAGTATCAGTTAATGCAGAATAAATATTACATGCCTTCAAAAGTGATGGACTGATGCTACCTTAGAAATTTTTTGATGCATTATCGCATAGCTAATTTCAAATAGCTGTAAAACTACATAAAGCAATATTCTACCATGACATTAAGGTGATAAAACTACTCTTTAGAAATCTGAGGTAGATTCACTGTTGTTTCGATACCTATTATTTTTAATTTGGAACAGGGGTGGTCGGGTAGCCTACTGGTTATAAAGCGTTCGCTAGTCACGCTGAAGACCCGGGTTCGATTCCCGACATGGGTATAATGTGTGAAGCACTCTTCTGGTGTGCCCCGCCATGATATTGCTAGAATATTGCTAAAAGTGGCATAAAACCATACTCACTCACCTATTTAGAACAGAGCATTCCATTCCACCATGACGGCAAGAACGCATTGGTAGTTACACAGGGGTACACAGGTCAGCGATATCCGAACAATATGAAAAGAGGTTGTGATAAATGTAACAAATATTAGTCGTTCAAGATTATTTACTGATATTCTTGACTGGTTCAAAATACATACGACCCGTGAAGGTCGGGGTTGGTTACATTAGATCTTCAGCAACCCATGCTTGCCGTAAAAGGCGACTATGCTTGTAATAGGCGACTGACTGGATCGGGTGGTCATTTCAGAAGAAAGGTGCATCACGTCATGACTTCAGAAGCCACAGCCCGCTGAGAATAAATTGTATGTCAACATTTGTCATACTGAATACTTGACAAAATGGTGTTCACCATCATGACCACCACAACACCTCTGTTTTCATCCGTGCTGGGACAGTCGTGGAAAGTTGAAGTGTCTCCAAAGTAGAACAATTAATATCTTTGACAGCAGAATTGATTCTTTACAACACAAATACCAGCTACAGCTGCATGGGATTCCATCAGGCTTTCATTTCTTATCTCCAGACCGGTATTAAACGTTTGCTTTTATGATAAAGTAAAATGTTTTTTGAGGCCAGTAATTAGGGGAGAGATAGGATTTGTAGCCAATTTGATGTTTGGATTTGTGCTGCGAATTCCACACAACACGTTCACAGTTTTTATCTGGATTGCTGGCAAGGTATGATTTGTTTGTTGCCAATCTGCAATATTTCAGCTCTTATCATGACAGACAGTAAATAATCAAGGTTGGACCAGACAATCCATTGAGTACAGTTTCAACTTCGAAGCTTGAAGACATTTACGGAGTAAAGCATTATGCTTTCATGAAAAGTTCAGCAATGAGCCTTATGCAAACACGCAAAAATGTCGACACTAAGCCAATTGCCTAAACAAAATCTTTCAACACTGAACCTTATGCCGTCATGTAAAGTCTCAACTTGGATCCTTAAATATAACTTCACATAAAGTTTCATCTCAGAGAATCATGCCTTCGCGTAGGTTACAACTCTTGAGCCTTTAGTCAACATGTAAAACTTCAACTTGAAGTCTCTGCGGTTGACCGTCTCCCTTGTCTAGTGGAGAGTGGGTCTGTCCCGAGAGCGGAAGGGCGGTGGTTTTATCCCCGGTCGCGTCATACCAAAATTCTTTAACAGAAGGTACTTGTTGTTGCCCTGCCTGATGTTCGGCACTAACGGGATAAAACAAGGACTGGTCAGCTCGGAGTCAGTGTATGCATGTTTAACTGCGGCATGGTATCTCCGTGGTGCTATAAATCGACTGGTACAAAAACACATGCACGCACGTGCGATATAATTCCAATAATTACGGATATGCCTTCACGTTTTAATATTGCAATGGTGACAATATTGAAAATGGTATTGGGACCTCTTGAACTATTTCAAGTTTCATCAATGATATATGAAGTTCTTCATCTTTAAATCGTTGTATCCAACATGAATGAGCTACCGTTTGCAGATGATCAATGCCATATTACTCAAAACAACCTCAGCTGAGGTAACTTTAACCACTAAGGTTAACTAAGTCTGAGGTAAGGTGAAATTGGGTTTAGCGTCGCGCCCAAGATTATTGCACTTATACAGCGACGTGCATGCACGTGTGTGTGTGTTTGGCTGCTTGTACTAGTCCGGACTGATGCCGATTTATAGTGCTAGCTCACTGAGATACCATGCCTCAGTTTAACATGAATACCCCACTCAGACACAGTATACTGACTCCGAGCCGACCAGTCCTTGTTTTAGCCCCTTCATGCCGAGCGCCAGACAGGGTAACAACAAGTACCATCTTTTAACGTCTTTTGGTATGACGCGGCCGGGGATCGAACCCCGGACCTCCCGCTCTCCGGGCGGACGCTCTACCACTAGACAACGGAGGCGATCTAAGTCTGAAGTTAAGCCCGTTTCACAAAGCAACTGTAGCTAGGTCTTAAGTTAGTCAGTATGGTACGTGTCATTCCTAGCGCAAAGGTTGCGATCGTAAGTCTATGACATCGCCTGCTGAAACCATTACTCGATATGCTGTTAAGAACACAACAGTTAAATATTACTTTGCCTGTTTTTAACATGATTTCTGAGTGCCAATGTTTTAGACCGATTTACATAATCGTCAAATGTAATATCTAAACATGTCTACCGCTAACTTCATTGTAATCTACCTTTCTTAATATGCCCTACGCATGTTCTTTGAAATCCAGCTTTTTACAACTAATCCAAAGGAAGATCGTATGGCACAATAAAATCTTGATTTACACGTTAGATCAGTTGCTAGATTTGAAACCAATCGTGGAAATAATCTGAAGAAAAACAAAGATACATGCCTCGACAGTTTATCTGAATGATCATCATACAGTTCTTGATAGTGTCAGTTTTCTTCCTGGGCCTATATAAAGATCTGGGGATGACAATATTCAAAGTACCCCTAAAGATCCGGGTGGCAATACGTCTTCAGCAATCCATGCTGTAAAAGGCGACTATGCCTGTCGTAAGAGGTGACTAACGGGACCGCATGGTCAGGCTACGTGACTTGGTTGATGCATGCCATCGTATCCCAATTGCATAAGTCGATGCTCATGATGACAATCACTAGATTGTCTGGTCCAAACGCGATTATTTACAGACCGCCATCATATATCGGGAATATTGTTGAGTGCGGCGTTAAACAACAAACAAACAAACAATTATCAATCACGGGTAGCAATACCGGTTGTCACTACTTGTGTAACATGTACTATCATTTTTCTCTTACTTATATTTCCTTACACACTTATTTTATACTTCAATTGTTAATTCTAATAATTTATTAGCAGGACTAACAGATGTTTAAGCCACAGCCTTCGTTGATATGAATTATTCGATACCTTTCTTGGGAGGGGTGTGGGGTGTGTGTGTTCACATCCAAAACAAGGTATGTCGTTTCACAGGAAGTTTTGAATCTAAAACATAGTTTGATTCGAAGGTTTTGCTTTTTTCCATGCAACCTGTCAATAACTAGCTTTATTATAACTAAGTTTTATCAACACACATCTCTGAAATTATGCGCAGATAGAAAATTGGCGAAATCACATATAGTTCACAATTGATACTGAACATGTTTCGCTGCCCCGTCCTAAGGTGACTTTGTAACTCACACATTCATGTGTTAGAGGGTGTAGATCTATATTTCCTGATATAATGCATAATGACTAGTTACACGAAACAAGTGAAGATATGTCATATTATGTTTTTTTTAGCTAATATACCGTACATATATTATTCTGTTTGTAAAGAATATTCTCCGCTCGAACAGTATGGAATCATTACAATGTAGAGTGCACCTAAAATATGTACTGGTAACTCTTTGACGAATCACTCAGCAAAAGGGTCAACGGGAGGTTACTCTAATTTTCATGTTCACGTCAAGTAAAGTTATCTTCCCTTTGTTGTGAGTTCTCTTATTTACGTAAACACAGTTAGACCATCACGTACTTATTATTTGCAACCCCAGAGTGGAGACGATCCACATTATACGTACACGGGGACTGCATCTGCGTTACAATTGTATTCCGATGTCCTGGAAAATATACGCTTTGGAATCGGACTGTAAGTGAGCCAAGATCTGCTCGTTCAGAATTTGACACTTGCTGGAGAGAAAACTTGATTAGTCATCAACGAGACGGAAAGAAACTTCCCAATGAACACTTCATGGGGTCCAGCAACTCAAGGAGAATGAGTGGTACTGGTTCACGTGTAGCCCGGGGGACCGGCGATTCGGACGCAGGGGACGACGGGGACACGGACCTTCGAGCGATCCTTGCACACCTCATTCGCAGGTACGCAATCCCCTCCCAGTAGGGGCACCTGCTTGGGCTCTTGTGGGACGGGGGGTGTTTTATCGGTCCGTATTGGCATTGATATAATTCGTACTTTAAGGTGTTAGCTTTCACAAATATTAATTCAACCTTTGACCTGCCAAGTCGTATCACTTTTCACGATTAATGCCCGTGACCTGCGTAGTGATTAAGTAAAATGTTTTTGTCATAGTGTGCAGTTGCTTGATGAATTTTTTTACATTAAGTAGGTAAGAGTTTGGACAACTGTAAAATGTTGGAATTATTTATATGTGTAAATCATTTTGCTATGAATTAGACATATGTATCACTCAATACCTGTACAGTGAGGGTGCAACTTTTTAAATATACCAGTCATGTCCAGTGACCTATATAGATATATACAGTATAAGCAAATTGCACAGCCTGTTCTATATTTGGGATAAACAGCACAAGGATGCGGGATGATGAACAATTGTGTTACATTAGTTCTTTGAGAGTATGCATTTTTGACATGTTGAATTGTTGACACTGTTTAGCATGTATTTAGCTGATTAGGCCTAACAATGATTAATAATTTCCTTTAGTCTAGTTGCAAGGATTTATGACTGGGTTAATAGGGCTTGAGAATGACTCTGCATAACGCCTGATTAGCCTTTTTCACTTGTATGCTCTTAGCCACTGTGAAGTGCAAATATTGATGAGACATTGCAATGTGCTTTTGAAACTTAACAAACCTTTGCACTGTGTTCAGCATTTGCTTGTGTGTCCACGAGCCCATGAACGCTAATTAATACAGATCTGTGTTACTAATTAATTATTGACCAATTTGTAATGTATTAATTGGACAACATACAATAAGACTTATGTTTTAGGTTTATGCATTTTTGGCCAAAAATTCAGGTTGAAAAAAATAAATAAAACAATTTCAGTTTCAAATTTTCATATTTCCTCAAAATATTAAGTAGGTGGGATAAAAAGAAACAGGTATGGGAGGGAGGAACAAGGAGAAAAAACGACGAATGTCTCGGCTGGATGGGCTGTTTAACGTAGAAAAGGATTAATGAATCTAATGAATCTTTCCCATCTTCCCGAGGCAAGGGAGTTAACTGACTAAAAAAGTCCAGTTACCACCCTTGCCGAACTAAGCTGGAATTGTGGAGTAATATTTTGGCTCAACTAAAGAGTCTATGCATAGTCCTATCAAACTTGCGTAACAAAATCGATATCCGGTTCGTAAAATGCAGTTCAGTTTTCGGTCGATTGCAGGATTTGCAAAGAATTTGTACTGCCAACTCGGCGTGTCTAGAGATATTTTCCAAATCTTTTTAACAAGGTGCTCTCATGCTTTGATGCGTTTGCGTAGTAAGAACCATTTTATCACAACATAGATTTTGATTTAGATTGTCTTGACTGGGCGCTGCCATTTTGTTTGAAGTAAATGCAAGTGATGTGAGAGGTGGAATCTAATTGGCCATAGCAGGGCCATAATACCACCCGTAATAGCTACAGGTGGTGCTTCAATTGAGCTCAGAAATTCCATCCTCGTTCTGCAAGTGTGTAAACTAGGCTTTTACAGTCAGTTAGTTCCCTTGCCTAGGGAAGATTACTCTTTCCAATCTGTGACAATTCGTCAAAATTTATTTTTAGATAAATCTTCAACTGGTTTTGATAAGAATATTTTAAATATTTTGTTTGTATTGATCATGTTGATAGCGACAGTAAATGAGTTCATTTTTTTTAACATTTTAATTACTTCTGGTCAGTGGAATAAACAAAACACTGTTTTCCATGTATTTTTATATTTTTACTTTTAATTTTTTGGGGAGTCTCAGGATTTGAAACCAAGTTATAGAAAATCAGGCCTAAAGGGGATGGTGCTGAGCAATTTGGTGTTGATTTTGGAACTAGCTCTAACTGATATGATAGTGACTTTTGTCAAACTATGACATTTTCTCGCTGTAGTTAGGTTTACCATTAACTGCTGGATAGAAATACATTATGTAATTTGAGTTTTCAAAGTGGGTTTCATTGCCTTCTATCAATTTGGAAATCGAATCATGTATGTTTGCTGAAAAATTTGATTTAAGGATTGACTGTGGATTTCTTTAGGTGGATTCTGACAAAATTTTGCACATTGGTTTTTCGATTCATGCCTCAATTTATGCACATAACTTGACACTCCCACAAAGGCAGTAGCCAATCAACAGAGACTAGGATCAAACAAAGATCATAGGACAAGGCAAGAGGCGAGAAGAATTGCCACAGTCAGACTGTAATGAACCGGTCCAAATATGTCCGGCAAAAGGCGTCTGTTTCAAATGACATGGTCCTTTAATGCCAGATTCAAACATTAGTTCCCCGAAAATGGGAAGACACATTTGGAAAAACCTGGGTTGGAAATGAAACCGAAGACATGAAAATTGTGGAACCCAGACGAGCAGAAAAAAACAGGCGAGCGAGCCTGCACGTTTGCTGTTTCATTTCCTATTGGCCTTTGGTCTCAAAGGGTAGTTTGGACAATGAATATGCATGAATTTGGCTAAATGTCCTGTGCATGTCAATACACATGAGCAGTAAGGGAATTCCCTCAACTGTAAATTATGATATCGTGATTCTTCGACATTAAGTATAAAAGTAAAAGTAAAAGCTTTGGTGGGCTTGGTTTAGTTTTTTACATTCATTGTGAAATGAATGCAATAACTCGTGACCAATTCAGCTAATCAGAATGCAGGATTTACAATGAACAGAACAAACATTTAATTATATAAATCTTGAAGAGAATCTGTTTTTCAACATCCATAAACACCAACCTACTTAACTTATTTCATAAACGTGTGTGGTGATTTCGGGGTCGAAGAGGTCCTAAATAATCTCTCTACATGCCTTGACTTTCAGTGACAATAAACACCAGCCGATTTGTACAGGAAGAAAGAGTAGTTCCCAGCCAAGTTTGAGTGAGTGAGTTGGGTTTAACGCCGCTTTTAGCAGTATTCCAGTTATATCACGGCATGTCAGCTTAATGTGGGACGAAAGCCTGAAGAGATACACGTCTTGTACATTTACCACTTTGGTGAAACCCATGAGCACAGTATGGTGCTGACTAACCTAGAAACATAATACCAAGTACCAAGTTTGAATACCAATAGCCAAGTGCACGAAGCATTACCGTTATCAAATTTGGTAATTGGTATGATAGGCACTCTTTGGCATTGTTGAAAGTGTATTTATTTATCTTGTTTGGCATGTTTAGACAATGTATTTCAAAATAAATGAAAACAAATTAACAAGGGAACATCAGTATTGCATCAACCAGGATGAATTTCTCTATTATCAAGATTATTTATCTTGTCGGTCAGGGTACTTTTCTAGCTTGATGTATACTATTCTTGTAAAAACAATCCACTGGTTTCAGTAAAAAAAGTTTCAGTTATATTTTCTTTTCTTTTAGTTTTGTTATTCGTTATGACTTGATTTTGATGTAAAGCAATAACATTGCATGTAATTATCACAGTTAGTAATATTCTATAGTTCCGCCCTTTACATAAATTTAAAATGTCCTTCATTTTATTATCTACTGACGTATTATAAATACATTAAATATCTTTAGCAAATGCACCAATGTATTACAATAAATATAAATGTATCTCATGTTTATAAGTATGCATATGTGTGTATGTGCATGTAGGTTTATGTGTTTGTGTGTACTACAGTATGTATGTACGTGTGTATGATTGTATACGTGTGAGTGTCATACGTCTTATTTGTGTATGATTTTTCTGCACTGTACATATATTCTACACTATCATTAATCACGTACAGTAAAATATGTTTATAATGAAGGCACTTATAATGAACTGACGGATATTATGAACTTAATTTTTGCTGTATAGATGTTGTATATATGCTTATAACTAGGCGTGACTATTGGTCTGGAAATCACTATTGCAACAACTATTGATATTGCAAGCAACTAGGGCTTGGATGAGTCCAAATTTACTACCCGGGTACCCAACCCCCTATTCCCGACCCTACCCGGGTACCCACTGTAGGTCTCAAGTTGGGAACACAATGTCTAATTGGGAATAGTTTAACTGTAGCCCTGGCAAAAACTGTTAAGATACATGTATGAAACCAGAGATCATATAATAGACTCTACTCTTATGAAACGATCGAATCATGCGTACACTGAAGTTGACTGAAGCTTTATCTTTACTCCAACATATACAAGTCAAAAGGAAAGTGTGCATCATCATAAAGAAATAGGAACGTTAGCGACTTGTCGTGTAACCACTGAGCTCTAGTGAGTTTTTGTCATTAAACAATATGTCACGTGACTAACCATGGGTCCGGGTAGTACTGTGGGTGCCCGGGTCCTACTCAGGACCCACCCAACCTGAGTACCCGAGTTACCCGTCCCAGCCCTACAAGCAACTATTGCGATAAATATCGATAGTTTTCAGTGTATTATTTTAGATGGTTTTTAGAGTTCAATTAAACCTTGGAACTGAGGTTTCCTTTGAATGTGATAACCATAACAACAAATAAAAAGTAAAGTTTGAGATATGACTGATTTTTTTTCTTTACCCTAATAATTTAAGAAAAAAGAAACTTCCACATTACCATGTGTAAATTACTACCACTCATGATCAAAAGAAAAACAAATTTGCATGTATTTTATTGTAACTGTAAAACTATGGTAAATACAATCAAAACTATCGCTATTCCTAACTGAAATCGATTTATTGACTTTAAGTGCTTACCAATAGCAATATGTTGATATCTTGATTTATCGTGACACCCCTACTTATAACGTACTACGGTTATAACGAATTAAAATTAGTGGTCCACTGGAGTTTACCGTAGTTTACTGTATTACGATGTAATGAAACGTATGTAGGAGAAGGCCATGTAAGTGTGTCACTTGTGGCTAATCCATTTGATGTTTTGCAATAAAATATGTTTAAATCCAACCAATCAACTAAAATGGATTGAGAGTCAACCTCTATGACTTGTTTGATTGTGTGTTACTGTGTCCGTCTACCTGAACCACTGCTCATGCTGTCAGTCACTGGTTTGAGCTTGTGTAGACTTGATTATTTATGAGATGTTGTGCTGTAACTGTAGAAATGAGTTTTTCGAGGTAAGGGTACATGAAGAACATGACTGTTAGCTTTTTGGATGTGATATGGATATTTCAAGTTAAAATTACAAACAAAACATCACATACTCATCCTCTGGTATAATTTATCTTTTAATTTGTTGTGAGTGAGGCATGTGTTTGGATGCTAGTATATGTTGAGTGATCCAGCAGAAAGTCTTTATGTACATCTTGCACTGCAAATCAGGAAATTCATGCCAAAAATGCGAGTGTCCCTTGCGCGCATTGAGACAGTGACACATTTTAGCATGAGATGTTGGAGTTTATTCACTATGCTGGTTCACTACACATAATGACATAAATAACAAAGTTAACAATGTACAATGTCATTGAGCACTAGATTAGCAGTGTATAGAATTCCCCAACATTTCAGACAACACAACTGGACTGGCAACATTGCAAAGTTAACAGATCAGATAAAATGTTACCAGTCCAGAATTTTCTAGACTAGTGAAAAAAAAAGAAGAAAAGGGTAAACATAAGAATAGTACTGTTTAATGTTAGTTCTTGGAACAATAGACTGGTAGACAGTCAACTTAGTAAACTAAGTAAGACTAATTGTCCATCAGCAAAACAGACTCGGACTGTTGGACAGGTGTGTATTTAACACTGGACCAAGTGCTTCTCACCAAGTACAGTGTCAAGTTTGTGTAACAAGTTCAGCAAGCAGTTATGACAGTCACCAACTGTGTATGATGGTCTTTGTTCTCGGTCACCTTGTCAAATGGTGTTAACATTACAAGCAAAACACTGATCACCCATGTTGTGAACACTTTCAGTTCAGTAACAGCAGTGGATACATAAAACTCCACATTTTCGGAAGAAGATGTATGGATGTCAACTTCTTCATTATTCTATTATTTATTCTCATAATAAAGAGGGGCGGTCGGGTAGCCCAGTGGTTAAAGCGTTCGCTCGTCACGCCGAAGACCTGGGTTCGATTCCCGACATGGGTACAATGTGTGAAGCCCATTTCTGGTGTCCCCGCCGTGATATTGCTGGAATATTGCTAAAAGTGGCGTAAAACCATATTCACTCATTCACTCATAATAAAGAAGTGGACATCCTTTTATTTTCTTCTTTATGTCTTTCACTTTGAAATGTCATTCAAAGACTCCACATTTAATTCAAAAGATTGAACTCACTCTTGTAACAACACGTGATATTGCTGGAATATTGCTAAAAGTGGCGTAAAACCATATTCACTTATTCACTCATAATAAAGAAGTGGACATCCTTTTATTTTCTTCTTTATGTCTTTCACTTCGAAATGCCATTCAAAGACTCCACATTTAATTCAAAAGATTGAACTCACTCTTGTAACAACACGTCATTTGAATATGCCTTATTTGGAATTTTGTGGAATATGCCTTATTTGGAAATTTGTGGTTTGATGGAATGTTCAATCACGTTGTCAAACAGCTAAAGTTAGGTTTGGGATGTTATTATTCAATCGAATCGCCATCACCCCTTACTATATCATGGAATTCTAAGTCTACAGTCTTGGTGTTATCGTTTTCTGATTGTTTTTTTAAAAGTTCAAAGAGAGGGTTATGTTAAATTATTTTATGATGACACGACCTTCATATTTCTTGTACAAACTTCGGTGCAATTAATATTTTTTGTGCTTCCCAATGGGTGCAATACATTTTTTCTGAGTCTCCTCTGTACATTTGTGTGTACTGGATGCAGATTTCTGCGTCATGTAAAACCCTGATGATTTTTTCTACCAGAGTCAGTATCTTTTTGACACCTTATTGGATGCTTTTTTTAACATGTTCAATGGAGGTAAATGTTTTAGAATTTCACTATTGGCTGAACACTAAACTTGCTTAATGACATTATTTCCGAGTGATTGTGTTTAACATTATAATACTTAAATCACTGACATTAAACTGTTAATTGATAATACATGTCGTTGGACTGAATGAAAGACATTTTGATCATTGTTGATGTGACCATGGCGACTTGTTTCATTGTTGTTATGTTGGCTGTGTCTTTCAGGCTTCATGTAAATCACTCAGTATTGTTTCCCCGACAGTGGACAGATCCGCATCCTGACATCCGACGGGGCGACCTCGGATGACGATTCTTCCTCGGACCTGGAGTATATGGACTCCTCCAGACCTCCAGATGGTATGTAGACATAACAAAAAGTCCCTTGGATCACATGTTTTGTGTTGTTGTTTTCAGATGACAATATGCAATGACTCATATTGTGTTCAACTACCCCCCCAAAAATGAAAAGTGGAAAAATTATATACTGAAACTATTTGTATCCTACTTTCAAACTTCCATGGTTACCACATGAAGATGTGCATACTAAATTTTAAACTGTCAGACTGGACTAAAGAATATTGCTCAAATAGCAGTACATTCAAAGATCTGAGGACATCCCATTATGGGTCATGTCAGAACGACCTTTTGCGAACTTTGCCCAACCAATGGAATGACTGACAAGAAGTCGATATTAGCCAATCTGAAAGCAGCTTTCTCGTGCTTTACAGCTGTTTTAAACTATTCTTGATTACAAATTTGAAAACAAAAGCGTATTCTGGAATGGCTAATACAATTCCCTAGATTGTATAGATTAAGTTATAAAGGCTGTAACTGTCGTTTAGGATACCCTGTGATTCATTTTTCGATGATAAGGAAACACATCCCAACTGTCACTTTCATGATCTGGTAAATGACGCTCTGATTGGTCTGATTAAGGTAGTTCTGACGTGACCCGTAATGGGATGTCCTCAGATCTTTGTTTATCTTTAGCGGGAAATACCGGTAAGATCTGATTTTAATGAGATTGTTTTTATGAAGTTTTTTTTAACTTTTCACCACATTCCATGTACACCTAAAATACAGGCTGTTTGGAGCGCCTATAGAATATAGTACCACACCATCTCTGGAGGGATGACTTTCACCGTGTCACATGTCACTGTGACCAGCCACCAGTGTTGTGACAATCCTACAGACTTGCATATTTAACCTTGACACATTGTGCCTAACTACGACTTTTCACACAAAAACCTGTGAAATAGAAAATAAAATAATCTGACCTCATTGTTCTTATCAGTGTGCAAGTTGTTGTTTTCTGGACGTGTGCTCGTTGACTGAATATGTTAAATGATTCAGCTTAATATAGGTTTGTAATGCAAAGCCAAACTCCTGGAAGTGCTAAAAAAATGTCTTATTTACATGGCATAAACACTTTGAACTTGTGCATTGTTTTCAAAATGCTCTGAGACCTTTTAGCTTTGGAATAAACCAACATTTATTTTTCTCCTAATGCATTTCATTGTTGAATGTTTATGTTGAATGTTCATACAATGATGTATGCTGTCAATTGATACAGGAATGGATATGTTTTAGGCCATTATATTTTTTTTTAATCCCCTATTTTTTATAAAAAATGAAACATGAATATTAACCCCAAAATACACCTTGCAGATTTCCAATGTTTGTAGCAACCAATATTATGACACTTCCTTTACTGTACAGAGATAGTTAAACACATGTGTAATTCTGTTTGCAGAGGACCCCAACCCAGACACAACCAGTATAGCAGTAAGTGTATTTATCTTATCAATCAGTAGAATGTGACATGTGTTTACCACTGATATTACACAGGTGACCTGACAGTGTCAATAGACGGCCCAGCGTGCTGCTTTGCACTAGATGCAGTGTTGAACTGTTGTCACAACCAACTGGTACCATTACTCCGTATTGACTGGTACACGTGTGAGATTTACAACATTGTGTTTGTTTGTTGCATTCGAAACACCACACTCAGCAATATTCCAGTTATTTGATGACTGTGTGTAAACAATCTAGTGTACACTAGACAGACCAGTGGTTAATGTTGAAATTTAGAAAAATCTGAAATATTTGTATTAAAAATGATGGTTTTATGGCAATGAAAAAATGCATATAGTATCTTATTATAAATATCTTGGTTTAGTATTTTCTTCACATTTAGTATGGTCAAAAGTTTGTGAGACATTAGCTATACTGGTTAAGAAAGCATGTTTTCCAATATATACTGAACCACAAAAGAAACATCACCCCAAGTAACATTGTATGAAAAGTTGTCATTTAAATATCTAGGTAATTTTTGTCATTGTTTCTAAAATTTAACCTTACCTTGTCCGGAAAAAATGATTTTCATGATTAAAAGACAAAGCAGATCGCCCAAACGCATCATGGCAACGGCCATGGTAACCTGAGTGAGTTCCGTGCAAATTGAAATGCACATCCGTTCCCCTATTTCTTGCCCTATAAATATCCACCCAGATTGGATACCATTCATTCGTTATGGAATTGCTACCACATGCCAAGATTGACAAGAAATCAGTGACACCAAGCCCTTGGATGATTGCAAGCTGGACAAACCGCCCGGCAAGTAGCCAATGCATTTCAAGTGCACGTAAGGACCATATACAGGCTCCAGCAATGTACCAGACCACCATGACTCCAGATGACCGACCACGTAGTGGAAGACCAAGGGTCACCACCCAACATCAGGATTGTCAGATTGTGCGACAGTACCTTCAAGATCGCTTTGCGAAAACTGCTCGACAGACCATGGGGACACACCAGCGACACATTAGTGCAGACACCGTGTGTCGACGATTGACGTGCAGACACCTCCACTGTCACCGGCCACGCCGAGGACTCATTCTGACACCCCGCCATTGCTGGGACCGTCTCCAGTGGGCAACACAGCACCAGCTTTGGCACCACCCGCAGTGGAGAAGAGTCCTTCTCAGACGAGAACCGTTACTGTATCTCAACAGCAGATGGCAGAGAGAGTGTCTGTTGATGCCGTGGGGAAGGTTATTCGTATGCTTGTGTTGTTGAGAGAGACTCGTGGGGTAGTCATCATGGTGTGGGGTGGAATTGGGTCGACCCTGTGGTCTTCCAGAACATTGGTCCAGGGAGAGGCAATGGTGTCACAGCAGCTCGGTACATTGATCAAGTCTTGAGACCACACGCCATACCTCATTTGGCACGTCGCCGCAACCACGAGTTTCAGCATGATAACATCCGTGCCCACACTGCGAGAGCAACAAGAGACTTCCTCGAACTGAATGGCACCAGAACCATGCAGTGGTCTGCCCTCAGTCCCGATTTAAATGTCATTGAGCACCTGTGGGGCGAGATTCAAAGACGGCTGAATGACGTCCGACCGAGGCCGACAACTGCAGCTGAACTGCGTCAGGCTTTCCTCAGAGTGTGGGCTCAAGTGCCTATGGCCTTCATCAACTGCCTCATCCATTCCATGTATCGATGTTGCACAGCAGTCATCAATGCACATGGCTGACACACAAGATACTGACTTGTGATGCTAAAGTGTAGCATGGTATCTCAGTGTGCTAGCCCTATAAAACCAGCTAAGTCCGGACTAGTACAAGCAGCCACACAAACACGTGCATGCTCCTCGCTATGTAAGTGCAGTAATCTTGAATGAGATGTTAAATCCCATTTCACCTGACCTCACCTGGAGGTATAGTAGCCTTATCTTCAGCTTGTTGTAAGAGTTGGCGAACATGAGGTCAGAGTATGAGTGTCAATTCTCAGCAGTGGCGTATCTTGTTATTCATCATACCCTGACAACACTGATGCTCAGAATATCGACCGCTAGCTGATCTGCAAAAGGACCTGATTACATATTTCCACATAAATTGACTTTTTTTACAGTGTGTCATCTGTATGAGGTTGATGTGATAATCATGATAATATAGAGTGAGTGAGTGTGTATGATTTTATGGTGCTTTTACCATTATTCCGGCACCATCACACCAGAAATGGGCTTCCTACATTTTACCCAAGTGAGGAATTGGACCTGGAGTTTTGAAATGACATGCAGTCTCTTTAAATTGCCAACATACCCCAACTGCATAATGTTCCACATTAGCATACTTAGAATTGGTTTTCTAGGAGGCCACTAACACAATCGGATGGTCAGGCTCGCTGCCTTGGTTGATGCATGTCCTTGTATCTCAACTGCATAGATTGATGCTCATCATGTCATTCCCTGGTTTGTCTGGTCCAGACTCAATTGTTTACAGACCGCCGTCATATGGCTGGAATATTGCTGAGTAGGCATTTAACAACAAACAAACAAAACAATCATGGATTAGTTATATCACAAACTTGTATATGACAATTATTGAAAGTACTACACATATTATTTTCTTTAGAGTTAACTTAAATATATTTTTGCTTATTCATGTCAATAGATGTTTAAAAGATGTGGAGAAGTACATGTGATTATGTAATTGCACTCAATTGACAGAGTTTCTGCTCTGTTTTAAAGACCAACGACATTCAGAGCATCGTGATGCGTCAGTCCGGCCGAGCGATGAAGCGACGCTCACCTTACAATACCACAGTCCCACACCTTGTCAAGCAGGTGAGGCCAAACATGATAAGAGTCACATGGCTTCAGTCCCCCACACGTATACTTGGGCCATATTTTCTTTAAACCAGTGGTTTATGCTGTTTGTTGATCCATCAAACCAAAATACTAGATCAGAAAAGCTATCATGGAAACATGTTCAGATAACAACCTGAAATTTACTGTATTCCCCATTATTAGATGTAAACATGGTTTATGAGAAAATGATATTTTTAAAATTTTGTTTTATTTCAGGATTCATATTTTTGTATGTTTGAATTGCATGCTAAATGTTTGGGCATCATTTGAGTGAAAAATTGGATAGAACGAGCTTGAAAATGAGTGAAAAAAAGCAAATTCTGTAATTTTTCTGCAATTCTGCGGTAAGTTACACTTTCTGCAAATCTTTCTGCAATCACAGAATTGCAGAATTTGTCTGGGACTGACATGCCATCATCTGTGTTTCAGCGGGAGATTGGGATGAACAGACAGCAGCAGTTTACAGCTGGAGACTGCTGTGTCATCAACAACAGGTGACATATACCTGATATAGTTTGAGCTTACCTTAAGAGCTACAAGGAATTCAAGATTGTCTGTCCCAATGTCAACATTTGTTTATGACACATGTATGACGGACAGATAATAATTCAAGTGCACAGATATGGTGTTGCATGTTTGAAGGCCACTTTATAATCAGTTAAATATGTTTAACAATGAAACTGTAATATCTTTTCTACAAATGTTTTACAAAACCATTGGGTTGGTGGTTGAAAAATATTTTTAAAAATGGCATGGCATGTTAAAGAGTTATGGACCCGCGAAGATTCGGGGTAGAATAGGTCTTCAGCAACCCATGCTTGTCGTAAAAGGTGACTGTCACAAGAGGTGACTTATGGGATCGGGTGGTCAGACTCACTGATTTGGTTGATGCATGTCATCGTATCCCAATTGCGTGGATCGATGTTCATGATGTCAGTCACTGGCTTGTCTGGTCCAGACTCGATTATTTATAGACAGCCGTCATATAGCTGGAATATTGCTGAGTGCGACATTGAACAACAAACAAACAAACAACCAAACAACAGTTCTGGAAAATTAAGTTCCTCCTCGCTAATTGAAATTTCATTGACTGTGTTTGTAACTTATAAATTGTGATTGTGTATGATTTGGTTGTTTTAAAACCTGTTTGACTTTTGCATATTTGAATTATGCTTTTGAAAATATCAGTTCATTCATCTTGGAAAGTTTAAGATTGTATACAGAATATCCATGGTTGAAACATGAACATGCACACAGGAGTGGTGTACCCATTCACACATCAGGAAATGGCTACTCGATATGTCAGGTGGATTTAAGAACCCTCTAGCACCTGATGGCAGCTTGGGTTGTATACTCCTCAGGGAGTTGAAAATTATAACTGGAATGCATATGGATCCACTGGTCAGGGAACAAATAAACCACATTTGAGCAGAGATATCTGGATAAATAGAGGTCATCACGCGAGTGTGTGTGGGGATGGTAAATATCCTGCATTAGGAATAAACAGTGTTTTAGCAAGCCTGTGCGAGCTAAATACATAGTGTTTATACCTAATACAGGATATTTACCATCCCCAAACACACAAGTGTGATAACCTCTTTATCATATAATGTCATTCTTTAATTCTGTGCTTGGAAATTGCTTTCCCTCTCTCACAAACATTATCGAAACATTGCGAGTTTTCCAAATATTTTTTACGTCACAGGGTAAGTGATGTGTCAGTCGGACAGTGACAGTAGCTAATATAGTTCCAACTGAAATCTGTTTCTTATACAGTGGCGAAGCAACATATATGTAAAACAGCAATTGTTTTTACTTGCATTTGGCGGCAATCCATCGGTCTGTTAACTAGAGTAACTGCCCTTTTTCAAAGGGAAGCTACTCTAACCCTAGTCTATGAGATGTCACTGCCACGTTCAGACGTTGTTGATAGTTGGCCTGTCCTGTCATAACGTTAAGAAGTGATGTACACACAGCAACAAATAATATGATAACAATACAATAGAATGCTTAAAAAAAGACCATGCTATAAGTGTGAAACATGATAATAAAGCAATAAAATGCTTAAAAAAAGACCATGCTTTCCACCCTCTGGATGGTAGTACCTGCTGATAACATGATGTAAATGAATAGATAAGGAATATGCTTTTTGCCCTAAAAAATGCCCAGAAGTAATGCGTGTTATGGTGTTTGCAGGTTTCTCCCCAACAACTTCACCAAGTTGGCGTCCTATCATCACAAGGCTTTCTGTGGTGCCTTCTCGAAGGAAGGGAATATATTCTTGACTGCTGCGCAGGGTGAGATCCGTTTAACCCTACATGATCCATACTTGGCTCAGGGACCAACGTTTTAATGTTCTGTAGGGCGGGAAGGGGATGAGGGGATGTTGTATTGGTTTCAGTGACTCTTGAAGATATACAATATTTTTCTCTGAATGGAGGAGACGACAGTTACTATTTTTCACAACAGCATTTTCAGTACAGTGGGGTGGTGGGGTAGCCTAGTGGTTAAAGTGTTCGCTCAGGCCTGGGGTTGATTCCCCACATGGGTACCATGTGTGAAGCCCATTTCTGGTGCCCCTCGCTGTGATATTGCTTGAATATTGCTAAAAGCGACGTAAAACTATACTCACTCACTTTCACTTTCAGTACAGGGTGATGCTGACCACAATTGATCATTTCTGTATAAGATAATTGATATTTGGGTGCATTGAGTAGTTATTGGAATGATAAGTATAATGTTTATCATTTTCCTATTCAGATCAACATGTGCGAATCTATGACACAACCAACGATGACTTTAAACTGTTCAAGACAATTCGTGCACGGGACGTAGGCTGGAGTGTGCTGGACACTGCATTCAGGTGGGTAGGGTAGACACTGCATTCAGGTGGGTAATCTGGACACTGTGTTGAGGTGGGTAGAGTGGACACTGTGTTGAGGTGGGTAGAGTGGACACTGCATTGAGGTGGGTAGAGTGGACACTGTGTTGAGGTGGGTAGAGTGGACACTGTGTTGAGATGGGTAGAGTGGACACTGCATTGAGGTGGGTAGAGTGGACACTGTATTGAGGTGGGTAGAGTGGACACTGCATTGAGGTGGGTAGAGTGGACACTGTGTTGAGGTGGGTAGAGTGGACACTGCATTGAGGTGGGTAGAGTGGACACTGCATTGAGGTGGGTAGAGTGGACACTGTGTTGAGGTGGGTAGGGTGGACACTGTGTTGAGATGGGTAGGGTGGACACTGTGTTGAGGTGGGTAGAGTGGACACTGTGTTGAGGTGGGTAGAGTGGACACTGTGTTGAGGTGGGTAGGGTGGACACTGTGTTGAGGTGGGTAGAGTGGACACTGTGTTGAGGTGGGTAGAGTGGACACTGTGTTGAGGTGGGTAGAGTGGACACTGCATTGAGGTGGGTACAGTGGACACTGTGTTGAGGTGGGTAGGGTGGACACTGTGTTGAGATGGGTAGGGTGGACACTGTGTTGAGGTGGGTAGGGTGGACACTGTGTTGAGATGGGTAGGGTGGACACTGCATTGAGGTGGGTAGAGTGGACACTGTGTTGAGGTGGGTAGAGTGGACACTGTGTTGAGGTGGGTAGAGTGGTCACTGTGTTGAGGTGGGTAGAGTGGACACTGCATTGAGGTGGGTAGAGTGGACACTGTGTTGAGGTGGGTAGAGTGGACACTGTGTTGAGGTGGGTAGAGTGGACACTGTGTTGAGGTGGGTAGGGTGGACACTGTGTTGAGGTGGGTAGGGTGGACACTGTGTTGAGGTGGGTAGAGTGGACACTGCATTGAGGTGGGTAGAGTGGACACTGTGTTGAGGTGGGTAGAGTGGACACTGTGTTGAGGTGGGTAGAGTGGACACTGTGTTGAGGTGGGTAGAGTGGACACTGTGTTGAGGTGGGTAGGGTGGACACTGTGTTGAGATGGGTAGGGTGGACACTGCATTGAGGTGGGTAGAGTGGACACTGTGTTGAGGTGGGTAGAGTGGACACTGTGTTGAGGTGGGTAGAGAGGACACTGTGTTGAGGTGGGTAGAGTGGACACTGTGTTGAGGTGGGTAGAGTGGACACTGCATTGAGGTGGGTAGAGTGGACACTGTGTTGAGGTGGGTAGAGTGGACACTGTGTTGAGGTGGGTAGGGTGGACACTGTGTTGAGGTGTGTAGGGTGGACACTGTGTTGAGGTGTGTAGGGTGGACACTGTGTTGAGGTGTGTAGGGTGGACACTGTGTTGAGGTGGGTAGAGTGGACACTGTGTTGAGGTGTGTAGGGTGGACACTGTGTTGAGGTGTGTAGGGTGGACACTGTGTTGAGGTGGGTAGAGTGGACACTGTGTTGAGGTGTGTAGGGTGGACACTGTGTTGAGGTGTGTAGGGTGGACACTGTGTTGAGGTGGGTAGGGTGGACACTATATTGAGGTGGGTAGGGTGGAGACTGTATTGAGGTGGGTAGGGTGGACACTGTGTTGAGGTGGGTAGGGTGGACACTGCATTCAGGTGGGTAATCTGGACACTGTGTTGAGGTGGGTAGGGTGGAGACTGTATTGAGGTGGGTAGAGTGGACACTGTGTTGAGGTGGGTAGAGTGGAGACTGTATTGAGGTGGGTAGGGTAGACACTGTATTGAGGTGGGTAGGGTGGACACTGTATTGAGGTTGGTAGAGTGGACACTGTATTGAGGTGGGTAGGGTAGACACTGTATTGAGGTGGGTAGAGTGGACACTGTATTGAGGTGTGTAGGGTGGACACTGTATTGAGGTGGGTAGGGTGGACACTGTATTGAGGTGTGTAGGGTGGACACTGTATTGAGGTGGGTAGGGTAGACACTGCATTGAGGTGTGTAGGGTGGACACTGTATTGAGGTGGGTAGGGTGGACACTGTATTGAGGTGGGTAGGGTGGAGACTGTGTTGAGGTTGGTAGAGTGGACACTGTATTGAGGTGGGTAGGGTGGACACTGTATTGAGGTGGGTAGGGTGGACACTGTATTGAGGTGGGTAGGGTGGACACTGTATTGAGGTGGGTAGGGTGGACACTGTGTTGAGATGGGTAGAGTGGACACTGTATTGAGGTGGGTAGGGTGGAGACTGTGTTGAGGTTGGTAGAGTGGACACTGTATTGAGGTGGGTAGGGTGGACACTGTATTGAGGTGGGTAGGGTGGACACTGTATTGAGGTGGGTAGGGTGGAGACTGTGTTGAGGTGGGTAGGGTGGAGACTGCATTGAGGTGGGTAGGGTGGACACTGTGTTGAGGCTGGTAGGGTGGACACTGTATTGAGGTGGGTAGGGTGGACACTGTATTGAGGTGGGTAGGGTGGACACTGTATTGAGGTTGGTAGAGTGGACACTGTATTGAGGTGGGTAGGGTAGACACTGTATTGTGGGTAGGGTGGACACTGTATTGAGGTGGGTAGGGTGGACACTGTATTGAGGTGGGTAGGGTGGACACTGTATTGAGGTGGGTAGGGTAGACACTTTATTGTGGTTAGGGTGGACACTGTATTGAGGTGGGTTTGGTGGACACTGCATTGAGGTGGGTAGGCTACAATGTGGAATATCAACTGCTGTAGTTTAGGGCCTGAAGAATTGTATTTCTGAGGTGTGGCTATGCAATACTTTTATTTATTTATGAGATGGTGAAACATGAAGATCTGAAGTGTGTGTTGTTGTGTTGCAGCCCAGACGGGAACTACGTCGTCTACTCCAGCTGGTCTGACAGTAGTGAGTACTTCACCATCAGTGCACTCTTCTCAAATATTTGACACTTTCTTCCAAGACCAGGGTTTAGAATTATGATACCATTCTGACAGCCAGATAGGCAACTCTGTGGAACTACCTATCTGCTCATGAAGCATCCTGTCGAGACAACTTTACTTTGAACTCAACAATAAAAACTAATGACAAATGAGAATAAAGCTACACTCAGTTTAATATTATAACATTTATATGTGTGCATTAGACAGCATTTGGCATCCCATGAATGTATGTCCATACTGAAATAATCCCTGAAAGATTACAATATTTCTATCATATAGTTTGCTAACATTTAAGAAAATGGATAAAAACTTGCACGTTTAAGTTTTTAAGTTCCACCCACGTCACAACAGAAGTATGGTGTATGGCAACCAGGTTACAGTTTAGTGAAACTACATTGGTTCTTGATGCTGGGTATTTTGTTTATTGTTTAACATGGCACTCAGCAATATTCAAACTACATGACGGCACTCTGTAAATAATCAAGTCTGGACAAGACAATCCAGTAATCGATATCTGCTTTAGGAATTTTGACTGGTCTATAATGAAAGTATTCACTGACACCTTTTTGTCCAAACAAAGACATTATTAAGTCAAACATAAGGAAATTATGCACCTTCTCTATCTTTATGAAAATAACATTAATAGAATTTAACTTATTTAGGTATGTTTACCATCTGTGAACATTGGATGAAGTCTTTAATAATACTTACCGTATTCGACATAATGAGCGCCCCGCTCTAATAAACGCCCACGGCAATATTTGCTGATATACTGGCTAGTGAACAATCCCAATTAGCACCCCTTCTGATTGATCAATGTACACAAGACTATAATGCATGTGTTATATGCACTCTTAATTGTGGGCAATCAAATTCTGAAAAAATTTATCTGTCGTACATAAATATTTCAGGTTGTAAGCATAAACCTCGAAATTTACGATCTTTCAACTCGGTTGTTTTTCACCAAAATAATGTTCTAATAAGAGCCCCCTGTTTCTAATTTTGAGAGCACCCTGGGTGCTTATTATGTCAAATGTGGTACAAATTCTGTGTGTCATTGTGCTACATTATCACCAAATACAGAAATACTGTGACACTTATCTTTTTTCCTCGGTTTGTAGTGAATTCCTCGGTAGAACTATCTTAGGTGTATAACACCTTAGAAACTGTGTGAATAACAGGATAATTGTAAAGTTTGGCTGGAGTTATATTGTTTCAGAATAACTCAGAATAGTTTTGTAGAGTTAACTCCCTTGGATCACTTCAATTGTGGATTATTTTCACCAAATGATTATCATTTGGAGGATTTTTTTAATGTATTTTTTTCTCAATTAATGTCTAATTTTGTCTTTTTGTTTCTAGTTCATCTATGCAACATCTACGGTGATCATGATATTCATGAAGCATTGCCTCTGTTGCCGGGCGACCAGAGTTTCTGTATTTTTTCACTGACCTTTTCGTCAGACAACAGGGAGATATTAGGAGGGTATGAATTGTTAACATGTTTCATATAGTGTTGCATTGTTAGGATTGAATAAAAATTAGAACCAAGAAACCAAAAGGTAATGAGTTGATTTTTTAAATGAATGGTTGTGTGTGCTGTAATCTGATTGGTTGAATAATGGGATTACTGGGCATAGAATACTCAATAACACCTACAAACTCATAATGTTTATCTCCAAATTCAAGAATTAGCAAAAAGGAATTGTATAGGTTCTGAGTGCAATTTTATTCAGTCATATATCCATCTATCTAAAAAGTTTCATATCCTTAAGTCAAATTTACTTTTGATGAATAAAAATCTTTTTGATTTTTGCTCCATGCTTTTAAGTATGAATTCAATCTCCAATTATTTGGATAAGTAAAATGGCATCAATTTGTTTCAGAGCCAACGATCGTCACTTGTATGTGTATGACCGAGAGAGTAACCAGCGGACATTGAGGGTGTGTTTATTGTGATTATTAACTGAATTTTGCAAGTATAATACAGTTTTTTTCCTTAAATATGATATTTAAGATATGGAAACACACAAGGGTAATAATCGCTTTATCATTGAATGTCCTTTGAATAATCACTGTTTTAAATACCCTGCCTGACAGGGCTGGGATGGTTAACTTGGGCACTTGGGTCGGGTGGGTACTGAGTAGGACCATTGTACCCACAGGACTACCTGGACCTGTGGTTAGTTATGTGATAAATTGTCTAATTACAATAACAATATCGCTTATGTTTGCATTTCTTTCTGACTATGCACGCATTATTTCTGACTTTCATACATTTAAGTAAAGGTGAAACTTTAGTCAACGTCAGTGTATGCATGATCAGATCATTTTATATGTGTTTGTAAATTGTTTTTGTCAGGGCTCTGATAAAACAATTCCCAATCGGACATTTTGTACCCAACCCTTGAGACCTGTAGTGGGTATCCGGATGGGGTCGAGTAACAGGGTGTCAGGTGTCAGGTGTTGGGTACCAGGTAGGGTCGGGTAATAGGGTGTTGGGTACCTGAGTTGGGTTGGGTAGTAAGGGGTTGGGTACCCGGGTAGTAAATTTGGACTTGTCCCTGCCCAACTGAATGGACAATTAAATCATTTTTCTTCATTTTGTGATTTCTGTTGATAGTGTTAGATGGTACTTGTTTTGCCGTCAGGCAACAGATAGTGATAGTTGTGACGTGATTGATAGTTGTTTCAGTCGTTACACCCCCTAGTTACCAGTAAAGATCTGGGTAGAGAAAAGGCCTTCAGCAGCCCATGCTTGCCTTTGGCGACCATGCTTGTCATAAGAGGCGACTAACAGGATTGGGTGGACAAGCTCGCTAACTTGTTTGATGCATGTCATCGTATCCCAATTGCGTGGATTGGTGCTCATGATGTCAATCATTGGATTGTCTGGTCCAGACTCGATTATTTACAGACTGCCGTCAAATGGCTGGAATATTGCTGAGTGCGGTGTTAAACAACAAACAGACAGGCAGATGAAGTTGTGAGCAGTGAGTTACCTCCCCTGGATCATGTAGTTTTTATGTATATTTTTGGAGTCTGTTTTATCATTTCATGATATATTTCTACAGTTAAATGTTTATTTGCCAGATAAGTGCCCATGATGATGATGTCAATGCTGTGTCATTTGCTGATGACAGTTCGCAGATCCTGTTCAGTGGCGGTGATGATGGTCTTGTCAAGGTTAGTGACAGAGACTTTGTCCATGAATCATGAATACTGGAGCATGGATGCTAAACATCTTCACTTTAGGAAACAAGCGCAGGTGGCCTTGCGGCTCAAGATGCTACAATACTCTTTACAGAGTTGTGTCCCTTAATTGTGCAAGGAGATGCAGTTGTCGGTTTGACTCCCCAACTGGACATGATCATGATCCTTGGTGTGTCAGCTCCATACTGGTGCTCATATGTTCTATGAATGTGATAACACTTGCAGTCTGTGTCACATTGATGTGATGTGCATGTGATGGTTTGCAGTGGGAACAAAGCTGAATTAGCTTAACATGAACTTACCTTATAATAAACTAAACATGAAGTCCCCTTATAATCAACTAAGTGTGAAGTCCCCTTATGATCAACTAAACATGAAGTCCCCTTATGATCAACTCAAAGTGAAGTCCCCTTATGATCAACTCAATGTGAAGTCCCCTTATGATCAACTCAATGTGAAGTCCACTTATGATCAACTCAATGTGAAGTCCTGTTATGATCAACTCAAAGTGAAGTACCCTTATGATCAACTCAATGTGAAGTCCCCTTATGATCAACTCAATGTGAAGTCCCCTTATGATCAACTAAATGTGAAGTACCCTTATGATCAACTCAACGTGAAGTCCTCTTATGATCAACTCAATGTGAAGTCCCGTTATGATCAACTCAATGTGAAGTCCCCTTATGATCAACTGATATTATGACTTGTATGAATCTGTACTAGTTAATATGAAATTCATCAAAACTAAAATTTGAATGATGTGAGTGTTGGTGCGGCAGGTGTGGGACAGGCGGACGTTACGGGAGGAAGACCCACTTCCTGTTGGTGTGATGGCGGGACACCATGATGGCATCACATACATCGATTCTAAGGTGAGTGAGGAAAGAACATCTGAAAGAGAAGATCATTTCACTGGAGGATACCAATAGGCCCTGATCCCCCTATTTCCCAGGAACTCGGATCTAGTAGACTGGTGAAATTCCAAAATATTGACTTCCTTTGAAAAATCCTGGCTCTACACATGCAATTGTAGCTCACCTTATGTTGTTAGCTAACCTGACATGAAGGTGCATGTGAACACATTTTTGTTTATCCCCCCTCATTATAGTTTCCATTTGACAGCAATAATGAACATGGTGAAGCTGAAACTTGTATGATCATCAGTTGTGTTTCTAAAATTACACACAGGATTCTGATACTTTAACATCGCTGCTCCGACAGTTATCTCTCAAAATGTCAATTTTGTACATTACATTTATTCAAATATCAATGTGTAATTTAAAATAATTTATTAACTATGTTGACACATGTATACATTGCAGTGTTCAAACTGAAAGGGGGGGGGGGTCCTGCAGCCCTTCAGCTTTTCTTCAAAATCTCTAGAGACCTCCTCAATCTTAACTTATACATTAGGGCTATGACAAGGACCCCTTGAATTTCATGCTTATTTGTAACCCTGCATTTGAAATATTGTACAGTGTTCTTCTTTTATCCCCCTGGGTTAAAAATGAGGGGATATAGCAATCAGTATGTCTGTCTGTCCTCTGTCCGCTTTCCTTTTCCGGAGCAGATCTCCTACACATTTGAATATTTCTTGTTGAAATGTGCTATACATATCAGTCTAGTGGTAAACTGGTGCCTTTTAATAATTTAAGTTTTTTATTTTTTATTTTTTTTTTTTATTTCATGACAACAAGTTGGACTTTACTGAAAATGAAAGTAGTGCTATACAGATCAGTCTAGTGGTGCTGGTGCCTTTTGATGATTTGGGATATTGAAAAATACTGAACAACATTATTTTCCAGTGCACTGAAGGTATCCAATGGCAATGAACCAAAAGTGGGGTATAAGTAGCCAAACTCAATTTCCGATTTGCAACAGACTGGGGGGATGTTATCTCCAGGGCTTACTTGCTCAAAGCTATCTAAGCGCTAAGATGATTGTAACTCCCACACTTTAACATAGGTTTACAATAGTAATAGCGCTAAGATCGCTTTGAGTAAGTGGGCCCTGACTCTTGTTTGATGGATTACTGACTGGAAAGCAGTGACCAAACTGAGTCGATGGTGATGGTGATGAGAGCAGCATTATGTTGCAGAAAGATGCCCGCTTCCTGTTATCCAACTCCAAGGACCAGACAATCAAGCTCTGGGACATGCGGCACTTTTCAAACAAGGATGGCATTGATGTAAGACAGATGTACCTACTTGTTTCTGTTGATGTTTTGTTTTGTGCATGTTTAGTTGCTGAAAGATGATTGTCACCCAAGAGCAGGACTGCTTGGTATTACTGATATAACAGTATACTGCAATATGCTTACCAATGATACAAACATATTGCAATGCTCTTTTTGTTATTGGGTATTTTGGGTAAAAAATATAACAAGTTTTGTTAATATTCATATTGTTTCACTAACTAACAAGAAATTCATTCATAAATGATGTTTCGCTTCGAAATTGATTAACAAAACGCCAGAAACATGTTAGTAATCGTTCTGTCTTACATTATCTCCCCTGTAGCCATGACTACAAACTGGTGGCAACTGGTCGTACTGAGTTATATTTACTTTAGTTTAAAAAAACCAGGACCAGCATGTATAATTAGTGTCAGTCACTGTAACACTTTAGCTCCCAATATATCTCATTTGCTGTATGTGTTGCAATGCAGATACCTGTATCGAAATATATTTATGCAATGTTTTTGCCACTACCCGGCCCCACCTCTCTGAAATAGTATGTATGTTTCTGCACATATCTGAAGTCAGTTCTCAGGGAACACAATTCAGGTTCATCATGCTGGGGTGATGCATACAGTGGTTTTTAGTTCTTGAAGATACTTGTATTTAGTGATGTTGCAAGTCGTTGGTACACCAACGATGATATGATATGATATGATATGAGATATGATATGATATGAGATATGATATGATATGATATGATATGATATGATATGATATGATATGATATAATATGATATCTGTTACATTTAATTTTGCATCGATTCACAGTTAACCCCATACTGATTGTCCATGTTGATCTCGCATCAATACCAATAAGCTATTAAAACTATTTTTTTAATTCATAACTTTCTTGGTCGTCTCTACGAATCCGCCCAGATAATAAGACAGACCAGCTTTTCCATGATTCTGGTCACATTACAGTACGTAAACTTGTTTGTTTCTTATTAGTTTCTCATACAGAATAGTTAGCTTGACTCAGTCATGTTGATGGGTATAAGTCAGTTGTCAGTTGTCCTTCCTTACCTTAATGAGAGAGTCTATGGACTCTATTCTCAGTCAAATGACTGCAAAAAATGTTGAATATGCAGTATCGAGATGCGTATAGTATCGTGGCTTCTGTATCGAGATATCTATCGTATTGTGTGACCCCTGCATTGCAACATCCCTACTTCTTACATGGCCATTAAAACAATTAAGGATTGACTGTGTATTTTTTTCGGTTCATTGAGGTATGAATCGAAAAACTGATGTGCAAACTGTATGAATCTGCGTAGCGGATTCTTACAAAAGTTTGCACATCGGTTTTTCGATTCATACCTCAATGAACCGAAAAAAATATACAGTCAATGCTTATAATTGAATTCAACAACGTAAAACCTGTTTTATCTACAATAGTTTAACCCAAAACAGTTGCATATATCAAAACAGACAAAAATGACGACATTGATAAACATTCCAGGTGTAGGAATACATACAGTGGCGTGACATGAATCAGGTGATCGTTTAATTTATGCACATAACTTGACACGCTTACAGTCAGTAGCCAATCAACGGAGATTGGGATTAAAACAATGTTCATTGGACCTGTCAATTAAGGCAAGAGGCGTAAAGAACTGCAACAGTCAGACTGTAACGAACCGGAAGAAATATGTCCGAGAGAAGGCGGCTGTTTCAAATAACATGGTCATTTACTGCGTGATTCTTGGCCTTCAGTTTCAAAGGGTAGTTTGGACAATGACTATGCATGAAAGTCGCTAAATGTCCTGTACATGACGATACACGTGAGCAGAAAGGGAATTCCCTCCGCTGTAATATTGGGATTCCCCGACATTCCGCAGTAATAAAAGTAGTGTGCCGTGGTGGGCGTGGCTTAAGTTTTTACATTCATTGGGAAATGAATGCAATAACACGTGACTAATTCAGCTAATCAGAATGCAGGAATTTCCATGAACACAACGAAAATTTAATTGTTGTTGTTTAAACGTTATTGGTGCTTTGGTTCTAAGCTTCACCTTGGGCTCTAACTGATGATGTCAATGTAGACACATGGTTGTTGTCAACCATGCCTCCACTGTGTAAAACTGGCGAATATATGTGGCACGCTGATGATTATGTAGAGTCAACACAACCTTGTTTGAGGTTGGTGAGAAAGGGCCCTGAAATTGAAGGCTGCTTAGATTCAGTGTATTGAGTGGGATTCCCCTCTGGCTGGGGAAACTGTCATGAACATCATAAGCTGGGATCCCGGGGCATCAGTTCTCTGTCTATTGTAAATGTCATTATTGGTTTTGCTGAATGGCATTCTGTTAAATTGACATTCTTGCTGTCTTTGTAACATACTGGATTAAGAATGGTGAATCAGAGGTTTCAAATCCCAATTGTATGTTCCTGATTATAACAGCTGATTTGACGGCCAAATCACCACATAAGCTTGTAAGAAAGTGCCCGATTTCACATTGGAAACCTTAAAGTGTGTGTTCACTTACACATCTGATTTAAATCGCTGTAGTTGTATGTTGAAACACAGAAGGTCGGTGGTTCCCTCCCATGGTCTTTTCATTCAGGAGACGTTAAATGATGGTACTTGTTGTTACCCTTCCTGGCACATGGTATTAAGGGTCTTAAGACAAGGACTGGTCGGCTCAGAGTCAGTATACTGCGTCTGAGTTGGGTATCCATGTTAAACTGTGGCATGGTATCTCAGTTTGCACTATAAAATTGGTATTAGTTTGGACCATTACAAACACTCCCACTAACAAAAAAAGAGATGTGCATGTGGCTGTATAAGTGGAATAATAATGTAGGCAACATTAAACCCCATTCCACCTCATCACGTCCCCTGTTTGTTGTACAGGCCACAAAGAAGGCTGTCTCCAACCAGAGATGGGACTACCGATGGCAACAGGTCCCCTGGAAGAGTAAGTACAAGGACGGAGGGCAAACAGTGGCTCCCACGAACCCACTACCAACCTCACAGCAGGAGTAGAGAAAATACCAGAATAGGGTATACAAACTGATTGAAAGCCCCTTGCAGGTTATTGTAGATGGCAGTATGGTAGGTAGATGGGGGAACATGCTTGACCAGCTGACTGCTTTGTGGGTTTCTAGGGGTTCAGTCTTGTCCCACACTGTCACAGGATTTTAAACGCTCTGGTGTCTGCTAGGGCTGGGACGGGTAACTCGGGTACTCGGGTTGGGTGGTTCCTGCGCAGGGGCCAGATACCCACATGACTACACGGAGCCGTGGTTAGTCACGTGATATATTGTTTAATGGCAAAAATTATCTAGAACTTCCACGGTTACACTATAAGTGACTAATGTTCGTATTTCTTTCTGACTATGCACACATTCCTTCAGACTTTAAATGTTTGAAGAGATAAAACTTCTGTCAACTTCAGTGTATGCATGACCAGATCGTTTTATACATGCATCTAAATACATTTGCCAGGGCTAAGGTCAAACTATTACCAATCGGACATTTGTACCTATTTCTTGAGACTAACACCGGGTACCCAGGTAAGATCTGGTAATTGGGGCATGGGTACCCGGGTAGTAAATTTGGACTTGTCCTAGCCCTAGTGTCTGCTTAAAAAAGGAACCTTATGTTATTACATTTGCCCCCTTGCTAAAAAATGGTAATCCAGGATAAGTTGAACCAACTCACCAAACACATTTGAGACAAGTAGGAGGTGCACAGAATTTGGGCATTTGGATTGGTTTGTTACAGGTAGAGAGGGGGTGTGCATGTTGTGCACATACAGGACATGACGATGAAATTGACTTCACTCCCATGGACACACGTGTTGCTCATAAGACTATTAAGAGGACAGTGTGACAAGTTGATTCCAGAATTCTCTAAAAGTCGTGTGATAGAAGTATATATTCCATTTTTGCAACAAATGAATTTGCTTCATTGTCACAATACTTCTCTATTATTGTTATCAATGCAAATTTGCTGTCACCCTTTACACAGTCATCAGGTACGTCGCATGAGCACATACTATTATGTGCTAATGAACTCGCAGCTAAAACTTGTTAGCCAAGACAGGACATGCACATATCCATCAGACTGTTTGACGCACCCGCTACCTCTTTCTTCACAATGGTACGCGCCAGTGGGCGAACCTTATACATAGTCATACAGGGTTAATTGTCAGGTCCCAACTCAACTTATCCTGGCTTACCAGTAGCAGCCCACAATAATCCAGTTGAAATTAAAATTTTACTGATCTATTGACAAAGGTAAAGTCATGTAGCTTGAGCTAGTGTAGAGTCTTGTGGTTTTGAATGACCTTGTATTAATATCCTCACTATTATCTTGATCAAGATCATTACCATTACAATCCTCCTACTCCTCCTCTTCATCATTATTATTATGATTCAGTGGGCAAGCGTCATCGACTTGCGGGTGATACGTCACTGATGACCTTCAAGGGCCACGGTGTCCTTCACACGCTGATCCGCTGTCACTTCTCGCCTCAGTTCACGACGGGCCAGCAGTATGTCTACTCCGGATGTGCTACAGGGAACGTTGTCAGTGAGTTGTCTGCTTTAGTTACCATCTTCTGTTCCAGGTGAACCAGGAACCTTTATATGCTTAATGTTCCCTGAATGATCACAAACCAATCTCATTAAAATCAGATCTTAGTTCTCGCTATCGCTAAACAAAGATCTGAGGACATCCCATTACGTGTCATGTCAGAACGACCTTTCATCCAACCAATCAGAGCGTCGCTTACCAGATCATGAAAGTGACAGACGGAATGTGTTTTCTGATCTTGCAACCTCGAAATATTTAGCAGAGGGTATTCTGAATGACAGTTACAGGTTTTATGATATAGCCATACAATCTAGGCCATCTAGAATGTTCTTATTATCAGTCTTAAATTTTTTAACCGAGAATACGTCAAAATATGTTTCGAAGCATAGTCGCCAGTTTGAAACTAGTGTTGTAAAACTCGATAAAGCTGCCTTCTGATTGGCTAATGTCGATTTCTTGTCAGTCATTACATTGAACGGTCAAAGTTCGCGAGAGATCGTTCTGACATGACCTGTAACGGGATGTCCTCAGATCTTTGTTTGGCGGTAGCAATGGATGCCACCGGTGGGTGGTGGTTACATTTATTGACTAATTGGATGCCACCTGTGGGTGGTGGCTACATTTATTGACCAATGGATGCCACGTGTGGGTGGTGGTTACATTTATTGACTAATTGGATGCCACCTGTGGGTGGTGGCTACATTTATTGACCAATGGATGCCACGTGTGGGTGGTGGTTACATTTATTGACTAATTGGATGCCACCTGTGGGTGGTGGTTACATTTATTGACTAATTGGATGCCACCTGTGGGTGGTAGTTACATTTATTGACCAATGGATGCCACCTGTGGGTGGTAGTTACATTTATTGACCAATGGATGCCACCTGTGGGTGGTAGTTACATTTATTGACCAATGTATGCCACCTGTGGGTGGTGGTAGATGAAATGTAGGTTAACTATGTATACTTGACTGTTTTCAGTTTATGATCTCCTCACGGGGAAGATTGTTCGTAAGCTGGAGGGCCACAGAGCGTGTGTGCGAGATGTATCCTGGCACCCATATGAGAACATCATCATGAGCACATCAGTGAGTAACAGTGGTATCATCATCATCATCATCATCATCATCATCATCATCATCATCATCATTGTGATAATGATGATAATCATTAATGCTACATTATTATTAATATCGTTCCTGTTTGTATTATTATTACATGAACGATAGGAGTGAAACATTTGTGAACCAATTTGGAATGAAATGCTTGATGGTCAGTGTCTAGTGAGCACCACCCTTTAGGCACATGACTTTGTAATACAGTCCAGCCCACTGAACAAGTTGATAATGTGTGTGACATCTGTATGAACCCTGCATTTCTTCTTGTCTTCCAGTGGGATGGGACGGTGGCCAAGTGGGACTACCTTAGCACAGATGCCATGGACCTCCAGGATGATGAGGAATGCTGTAATTTCCAGGACACCAAACCATCACGAGCTCGGCGCAGTAGCCGACTTCGAGCCAAGGCACAACGAGAGACACAATATAGGGACCTCCTGTCATAGTGCCAGTGTCGCCATGGCAACAAGAAGTCTTAACTCAAATGATACACGGCTGGCTGGTATGGCAAGAGTATGGCCTTCAATATAACAGTGTCACAAGGGCCTGATATGAAGGATATTGGAGATTTACGACCGTCGAAATTCCCATAGTGTACATAAACTTAGGGTAGTTGTTGTGTTCAGATCATTGGCAGAACAGAACGCCAGTGGCGGGCTAACCTGTTATTTGCCTTGTTGGCATGATGATGATTTTGATTTTGTGGATTGGTTGATATATATCCGTGTCTAAGTTTAAGGTATTAACCAGGTGAAAACAGTTTTACAACATAGTTGTTTGTCCTAAAAGTGTCAGACTGGCTTTCATTTGACACTTGAACATGTGTGACCAATCTCATTAAGACCAGATCTTCAGCCTCGGTACAGCTACACAGAGATCTTAGGACATCCCATTACAGGTCACGTCAGAACGACCTATCCCGAACTTTGACCAACCAATGAAATGACTAACAAGAAGTCAACATTATCCAACAACCAATGAAATGACTAACAAGAAGTCAACATTATCCAACAACCAATGAAATGACTAACAAAAAGTCAACATTAGCCAATCAGGAAGCAGCTTTCTCTAGCTTTACAGCACTAGTATCAAACTGGCAACTTCCTTTCCAGCCTACACTTTGAAAACTATTTTGACAAAGCTCAGAATTTGAAAACTGAACAAAAGAAAGTTGACTTTTATAGATTTATGGCATTTCTTTACAAGAATTATTGAAAATCTCTTCCATTTCAAATGTTTATCCCATTGAAGCAAGAGATAGACAATGATTTTGACGGATTCAGTCGTGCAGCCCATAGCTGTCATTTAGAATGAATGATGAATGATGACTGTCACTTTCCAATCTGGTAAGTTTTGACTGGTCGGATGAAAGTTCATTCTGATGTGACCCCCAATGGGATGTCCTCGGATTTTAATGAGATTGATGTCTGACTTGCTTTCATTTGACACTGTTCTTATTTGTGTCTGATCAACCAGACTTCTTGTGGTCTGCATGACACAAAAGACTTTCTGTAGGTTTTAGATGATGTGTCAGTGATTGAATGAGGCATCCATTGCGCATGTGATACAGGAAGCACATGGTGTGCCCAGAGATGAAGATACAGACATCGTGATGATGTGATGTGGAATCACTAAACCTCTTCCTAGGTTTGAACCAGGAACATTGTTCTTCCTTGGCTGTGAAAGTATCAGAACACACAAGTGTGTTTGTCTTGCCCAATATCAATACCTGTGAATGATGGATGAATACCTTCAAATGTGATAGTAGATATGCTTTGTGAATTGACTGTAAAAAGACTATTGATGTGTGTGGGTTTGAGAAAATTACCCTGTGTTTTAGTGCATTTTCCTAGGTTTAAAATAAGTATCGAATGTCGCCACAAAGTAAAAAATATGGACTCCTACCTTAAATGTTTGCTTCAATGACTGTAATACTAAACACTAATTGGTAGTGAAAATTAGGAGTGAAAACATAAATATTTACAACCACTGCCCCATATTTTGACACTGCCAACTGTAAAGTGTCAGTGTGCCAGGTTTTGGGCCATCCTGACCATGAAAAAAGATGGCCTCCTCACCACAGATAAGAGCACATGAAATATCGTTATATGTATCAGATCGTGAGCATGGTATCGTGACACATATCGAATCTCACAGTTGGTGTATCGTCCCTGCCCTACTATTTTCCCAGAGATTTAACCCAATACATTAACAAAGTTATCATGGTTGCATGTAAGTAATCCTTGTCAGATATGACCCCAGCTACCTATTCTTGGATTACTTAGCAACTAAATGAAATGACAGGTCAGGTTCTGTGACCGACATCCCCTGGTGGCATGGATCGTTGCTCATAATATCAACCACTGGTTTGTCTGGTCCAGTCATAGTGGTCATATGGCGAGAATATTGCTGATTGTGGTGTTTACAACAAAGAAACTAAACAAACAAACAAACAAGCAAAGAATTGGTAACAATCTCAGTGGCAATTCCAACCTATAAACAATGACTTGTGTCAGGCTCAAGGGAGCTTGATATTGCTTATTGTTGACAAGGTGATGTTCTGGAGTTGTCAGCATTGGTTTCCTAGTGTGTAGTCTGCTCAATCTCACTAAAATCAGATCTAAGTTCTCGCTGCCGCTAAACAAAGATCTGAGGACATACCATTACGGGTCACGTCAGAACGCCCTTTCGCGGACTTTGACCGACCAATGGAATGACCAATCTGAAGGAAGCTTTCTCGTGCTTTATGGCACATGTTTCAACCTGGCGACTTCCATTTCAGACTACGCTTGAAAAATATGTTCTCGATTAAAATTTTGAAAACTGAACAATCGAACATTCCGGAATGTCTAATATATGGTTGGGATTGTATGGCAGTGCTTCCCATGCACTGTGCAACGCCTCCTCCGTTCAAATGTTAATCCTACGGAAGCGAGAGACAGACGATAATTTTGACGGAATCAGTCGTACAGGCCGTAACTGTCGTTCGGAATACCCTGTGTTAACGTTTTTGAGGTTGCATGATTTGGAAACACATTCCGACTGTCACTTTCACGATCTGGTAAGCGATGCTTTGATTGGTTCGATCAAAGGTCGTTCTGACATGACCCGTTATGGGATGTCCTCAGATCTTTGTTTAGCAATAGCGAGAACTAAGATCTCATTTTAATGAGATTGGTAGTCTGCTGTATTGAAGGATTGTTCTCCCTCAATGTTAGAGAGAGAACAGTTTGCTGATCTGGCATCATGCATGCTGGGACATGTTGACGTTGTGCCAGCGTGACGACCATTATAGCTGTTAAGCCACAGGACGATAGGGCAAAGTTACTTTATGACTTGATCAATCTTTGCAGTTATCTTGATATTTCACCTCTGTATGAAATGGCTAAATGAAAGTTCGGAACTCGGAAAAATAAAATAAAGAATTTTGGGTTGCAAACTTTTGAATTTAAAAAAAAATACTTTCAAGATTTGTGTGTCACACAGTGTAGATAAGAAGGGTAAATATGTATAATTCAAGCCGTCTGGATCTAGCCTATGATTCTTTGTGTCAGAAATTACACAGCTCAGAAAGAGAAAACTTTGAGAGGTTGTTAGGCACAGAATTAACTGAAAATTTGAATTTACGAAGAAAAAATGAAAAAGAGACTAAATTTTTTCTCTCTTAAACGCTTTTTACATTTTTTCCCTTGATCACAGTACACAGCCATTGTATCTGGTTATAGTTTCAGTCTTTCACACCAGTGATATGAACTTTCAGACAACTTTAGAAGGTTGTTGTCAGAAGTAAAATTTCAAATTTGATGGAACAGCTTTCTTCAAAAGAAAATCATTTCATTGTCAAGTGAGAAAATTCTTCTATTTCCGAGAAGAATCAAATGTTATTTTCATTATAAACTAATACCTGTACATAATGTAACATACACATGTAGATGTTTTTATTCTGTACAGTGGTAAAGGGCTTTGTATACAGATGCGAGTATGAGTCATGTGGCTGTATCATCTTCCCCAGGCAAGGGAATAAACTGACTTTAAGAGTCCAGTTTTTACCCTTGCTGAACTAGGCTGGAATTTTGGCTGGACTAACGAGTATATGCATTGTCTAATCAACATCGCGTACCAAAATCAACATCTGATTCGTGAACTGCCTTGCAGATTTCGGTCAATTGCAGGATTTGCTAAGCATGTGTACAGCCAACTCGGCGACAACAGATATTTTCCAAATCTTTTAATCTTTTAATCAAGGTCCTCACGTGATTTGTCGCGCCTCGCAAAGTAAGATTCGTTTTATTGCATTCAGATTTTGATTATCGATCTGATCGTCTTGACTGGGCGCCACCATTTTGTTTGAGGCAAATGCAAGTGATATGAGAAGTGGAATCTTATTGGTCAGCGGAAGTGACATAACTCAAACTAATGAGCCCAGAAATTCCAGCCCAGTTTGTCAAGGGTGGAAACTGGTCTTTTACGGTCAGTTAACTACCTTGCCTCGGTAACATGTATTATTTACAGTCAAACTTAGTTATGTTGAACCCTGTTACCTTGAATGTACAGATATCTCCAACCTATTCTCCTGTCTTGACCGCTTTGCTATACAAATGCATATATATTTGCCTGCTTATATTAAATTCTTGTTCCTTGGACTCAGACCCAACTTTGACTGTACTATAGAATTTTGTACCTTTATCTTGAAATTGGCATTTGCCACATTAACAGTTATGAGAAGCGCAAGTTTATCTAGAACCTTTCCTCACACGTCTTACATCGCTGTAAAAGTACTGTGCACTTTAAGTGAGTGAGTGAGTGAGTTTGGTTTGACGCCTCTTTTTATCAATATTCCAGCAATATCACGGCGGGGGACACCAGAAATGGGCTTCACACATTGTACCCATGTCGGGATTCGAAACCGGGTCTTCGGCGTGATGAGCGAACGCTTTAACCACTAGGCTACCTGACCGCCCCTGTGCACTTTAAACCAGTTGTACCGATTATGTTCTTATCTTGTAATGGTATTCTTTATTGAGAACTAATACATTGCGAGGAGACATGAGTTAATACATGGCGGCACTTCCATGCGCTAATCAAGGTCAGATTAAAGGACTCCAAGCTGCGATACGTTACTCACAATATCCAAGCTGTGAATTAACAAGCTTGAGGCGATATTGGTGAGATAAGGTACATGTACACTGTACATAATTTGTGACAATTGTTATTTATCATTTCAGTTTGATGTGTTGTGCTCTTAATTTCTTGACTGCAATCATATTGCTGTGGTATCAATAATTCTGTTACTAGTTCATGCCTTGTTTTGTCAAATGTCCGAACATCTCAAAGTTAGAGCACAGTAGTTTCGAGATAACAGGGTTTAACTGTATGTGTTGGATCATAGGTCTCCCAGCCTATTTTCAACTATACTGAACAAAATGAAGACTGAGCACACAATTTCATTAACATATCCCCCAAACTATTAAGTTTTTTTGTTCAGTATATTTTGATATATTTTCATAATGGATTATTTTTTCCAATTTCAAAGTCATGTTTTCTGCTGACACTTCACACACACAAATATATTTTGAGATTATGTTCATCCTCAGTGTTTTAAGAAGAAATTTCATTGACAATTATCGGATGCTATATTTGACATTCACAAAAGTTGAGCTAACAGAAAAGCTGACATGTTGCACACTAAGAGAGTTTGAAAATCAAATTTCCTTAATTAATGCTGATGTTACTTTTTGGGGGATGGGACCTTCGTCTGATGTTTGATTTTTGCAGCAAAAACTTGTGATGCTGAAGAGGGTGCCAACCACCTTTGGTATGCAGGATTTGGGGGTCTGTTTTGCGAGTATTCGGGCTCAGCAGTGTGGTATGCGGGCCCCAAATAAAATCTTATTTGGTATGAAGAGTCATTTGAAAGAAAACATATTTCTGTGTGTAATAAAATTCCTTTATATATTATATTTTTTCGACTACATTTTTAGTAATTTAACTACAAATCTCACCCTTTGAGGCCCCCATCAATTTGTTCTATAGGTTTTCGTCTGTGACTGACATTCTGCCTTTGTGAAGTGAATTCAGACATGTGGTTTTGAGATTTCTGTTAAGTAGTATTCGGGATTCAGGGGTGAGTAAATGAGACTCAGACTGAAAAATTAGATGGTATTCAGGATTCAGGGCACGATAACAACTTGAATGGACTTTGGCTTGCTATATACCGCTGCACCATTGACACAGAACAAATATGTCATTATGAGTTCACAACATGCAGAGATTTATTTTCGGCAAATATTTTTGTGTTGCAATATTCAAGTAGTCTTGTGAACTTGTTAACTCGACATGCAAGCATAGTCGAAAGTGATGTGACCAGCAGTTGATGTCACATCAGTCTTGATGACGTCATGATGTCCTTCCAGCTGGCTTGTATGTGTTTTGAGGCAAGATTTAATGATGCCTGCTGGTGAGGAAAGCAGGCATCACTGTCAGGAAGCAGCCCAGTGCTATGTCCAGTGTGTATTGATTTCTTGTACAGAGACACTGGCAGCTGAACATATTCTAGAAATAAATCTGGGTATTCAAGTGTAAACAAATAAAAAAATTGAAAATAAAATATATACATGCATAATTTGATGTTCATTTATGTAAAGTGTTGAGTTATGATTTTTGTGATTAATATGCAGTGAAATTCTCTTCGTCCTGACCCTGTTAATCTGGACACTTTGCCTTCCGGATGAATATCTTTTGGACCTTCTACATTTATTCAATGGACATTCTCCTCCTCATCCTTCTTCTTGTTCTTGTCCTTCTTCCTCTTCTTCCTGGGGTGGTGGTTTAGCCTAGTTGGTAAAGCGTTCCCTATTCACGCCGAAGACCCAGGTTCGATTAGCCACATGGGCAAAATGTGTGAAGCCCATTTCTGGTGTCCCCCGCCGTGATATTGCTGGAATATTGCTAAAAGTGGCGTAAAACCATACTCATACACTCACTCTTTTTCTCCCTCCTCCTCTTCTTCTTCTTCTTCTTCCTCTTCTTCTAACTTAATCCAGAAAGTATTTAATCTGGACAATTTAACTAGTATTACAGATTAACAGTGTTCTCTGCGTATTAATTAAAAAAATTACTGATGGGCTGGGGTTTGTGTATTCATACCATTGTCCGAAATGTAGCATGAAAGTCAAGGAGTCTTGGTCAATACCATAATGATAAAAGTAAAGAAGTTAGGCGCACGAGATTCCAAGTTGCACTTCCAAGCCCATCCTGCTAAACACCATGCCAAACGGAACCCCTGATGGTGATCTGCTCGTTGGGGATGATTGATGACTCTCCTGGACGCCATTCCTGCTGCTCTTAAGTGGTTCCTCAAGGTTCTGGTGGACAGACATCCATTGGGTAGCCATTGTGGCTGCAGGACGTGACTCATTGCTGATGACTGTCATCTTAATAATTGAATCAGTGCCCTGACATTAGGATGTGACAGGAGGTCGTCCTGACCATGGATGGTCCTTCACAGCATTTGTTTGACCATTTGTTTGTTCTCTCCAATTGGCTGCTTACTGTGTAATGGTGTGAGTTGGGTTTGAGGCTACTTTTGTTGACAGTATTCCAGTTATATCACAAAGTGGCGAATCCAGCGGTGGATAGGGTGATAGTGGGGCTGGGGATGGGGGTGGTTGTGTAGGTTCTCTGTGTGTGTGTTTGTGGCCCCCCACCCACTTTTATAGGAATATAGGAATGGGTGCTTTCCATCCATCCTTCAGTCTTTCTGTTTCATTTCTGGAGCAGAACTAAAAAAACATGAGGGATATTTTAACCAAACTTGACGCAGAGAAAGGTCAAGTGGTAAACTGGTGCCTTTTGATAGTTTGTGATTTTTGAAAAGTTTACTTTATGAGTTTCAATGGCAACGACTTTGACTTAGACCGAAAATGTCAGTAGTGGTTGTATCTGGAGCAGATCTTGAAAACCAAACCAAACGTCACCAAACTTGGCACATAGATTGGTCTAGTGATAAACTGGTGCCTTTTGATAGTTTTTTTTCTCCAAAAATTATTTTTCGAGTTTCCTTAGCAACAACTTTGACTTAGACTGAAAATGGTTGTAGTGCTCGTTTCGAAGCAGATCTTGAAAAATGTTCAATATTTCTTCACAAAACTTGGCACATAGACAGGTCTAGTGGTAGCCTGGTGCCTTTTGATAGTTTGGAAGTGTTAAAGAATGTTTCCTTGGCAGGAACCTTTATAGGGGCTAATGCCTTGCACACATCTGGACATGTAATATTGGGATATGAGCATTTCATGCTTGCTTAAATGTTTTGTTTGTTGTTTAACTAAGCAATATTCCAGCTATATGACGGGGGTCTGTAAGTAATCAAGTCTGGACCAGACAATCCAGTGATTGACATCATGAACAACAAAACAGATCCTTTCGATGAAACAACATTCTTGTCACAATCCTCATTGTCATTACAGTTAAAATTAATGGTGACTTTATTTCATTTGCCAACTTTTTTCCAAGCGTCAGTCAGCCGAGGAGTGGACAGCCTCTGTGGTCTAGTGGATAGAGTGTCTGACTGGAGAGCTGAAGGTCATGCGTTCGATCCCCAGCCGTGTCATACCACAGTTCTTTGAAAGATGGTTCTTTTTCTTACCCTTCACATCATAAGGCATTAAGGGGCTAAAACAAGGACTAGTCGGCTCAGAGTCAATATACTGTGTCTGAGTGGGGTATTATGTGAAACTGTGGCATGGTTTCCCGGTGGGCTAGCACTATAAAATCGGCATTAGTCCGGACTAGTTCAAGCAGCCACACATATACACGTGCATGCACGTAGCTATAAGTGCAATAATCTTGAACGCCATGTGAAGCCTCATTTCACCTTACCTCACCTCAGCCGGGGAATGTTAATGCTGTCTTTTCTCATGCTGACACGCCATGATATAACAGAAATACTGTTGAAGTAGCCATTTGTTCATGTCCTTATGGGTGTTTAGTGTTTGTATAATCTTTGGTTTCTCAGCACCATTCCTGTGCTCACCTGTTTTTCCTGAGTTCATCCCCAATATTGTATATTTCTGTCATCTGTATCACCTTCGACTTTCCTCCATATTAGGTCAGTTGAAATTGCTTAGTTTTTCATGACACATGCTCTTGTTTGAGGACTGAGAAAGAAAGTTTAAATTGAAAATATATTAAGTTAGCGCTTTTATATATAAAAAATGAATCGTACTGGCGCTTAGTCTGCACCAAAAGATTACCTCCACATGGTGTTATTTTTTTTAAAATGTCTTGATTTAAAACTTTTTAAAAACTAAAACTATCTTTCACACAATACACAACTGCTGGGTCAGCTTAATGTGGGAGGAAAGTGATGCAGGTCTCAGACATTTACCACGTCGGTGAAACCCACGAGCACGGGTATGGTGCTGACAAACCTAGAAACATAATCGGGGCGAACCGTGATTCGAACCCACAATCATAGGTTTCTGGCGTGCCCAAGGGACACAACTCTGCACAGCGAATCGCGGTGCCTTAGACGACTGGGCCACCCGTGCCCCCACTCAAAAACTATGACAAGCATTAGGGATGGTCATTATTTTCAGTACATATGTGCATCAAAAACCTCCCACCCCTTTAATAAATGACCAGTCACATGTTTACCCTTTAGTTTCTGCGTGTCTGGGCATCGATACTCAAAAAGGGAGCACCGTCCACGGAATATTTGTATACAGTGTTGGTTTACAGTTGTACAAATCAAACTTTCAGAATCGAGGTGGTAAAGAAATGAGCGAACGAGTATGGTTTAACACCGCTATTGGCAATATTCCAGCATTATCACGACAGGGGACACCATAAATGGGCTTCACACATTGTACCCATGTGGTTAATCGAACCAGGGCGAAAATGATCTGACTTTGTTCCATCGTGTCTAGTCAATGTGTATCGTTGCCCTTACAGTCAACCGCTGGTTTGCCATGCCCGGCCTACAGCCAGACTAAATTCTCCCTAGCGTAAAACAACATTCCCTCGTCACAGCATAACTTCGTAAAACAGTGTAAGTGAAAACAGAAGAGGTTTACTTTGACAAAATAACATATTTATTGCATCATAACTGGCTTTGAGTCTAGTCACTGTAATAGGTCGTCATTTGAGGTTGTTGTCCTTTACACAGCGGGAGCAGTGCGTCCGTTCAATGTGTCGTTTATGAAGGTAAGACATTGAGAGATATCAGCGAAACTTGAGGCCGATGCTGCGTTGCAGTTGTCGACGAGAGCAGTGCCCTGGAGGAACCAGCGTTGGGTGTCGGTGTTGAAGCATGCGAGCCCACCACCATTGTCATTCTGAAAACAAAAATTGTAAATGGAAATAGCCGTATTTTCATCCTGGACACTTCATGTCCCGTTGTAAATATGAAAGTTGCTATGGAGAACAACTAATCGCTTAAATGTTCAACATCGTCAATACTTAACGGGTTTGAATACACAACGCTTCATCACCTTTCAGTTTCTAGTAGGCTTATGAAATAAGGCGGCGTGTGCGAACTCTACCATTGCCAGACGCCGTAGCAATGTGTAGGTTTATCCGACAAATATTCGATACACACATGGTAACCATCTAATACACAAATGATCCAGACACCAAACAATCAACATATTTGCCGAGGACCTATATTCTTAACCGGAAATATCATTGGTGTGACACTTAAGGTGCGTGAGTGATTGAGTTTTGTTTAACACCGCTTTGAACGTATTCCAGTTATATCAGTGCATGCCAGATTGATGTGGGCGGAAAGTCCAAAGTGATGCAGGTCCACTGGGGGAAACCCTAGGGCACGGGTATGGTGCTGACAAACCTAGAAACATAATCAGGGCGAACCGGGATTTCTGGCACCCCTTTGGGACGCAGCTCTGCTACCGTGCCCCGTAACAATCACATGGTACGAGGCTGATATATTGGTCTTGGCGAGTGGTCGCTTACAATGCATGGGACTCCACCGGTCTCCGACTTGGCACAGAGACCCCCGTTTGCAGGGAGGGCTTTTCCCATGGCCTCCAGCACAGCACAAGCAGCAGGGGGTAGAGCGGTCATGCGGATAATGTCGGTCTGGTTGTTCCTTGTTGGCTCTGAAGTGGGTACTAGAAAAGAAATAACGACATCTCTTAATAAATGCAAGGACAGAAATAGGAAATGAATATGTGCAGCTACATACATTGGAAGTCTCAACTTGTTCGAAAAGTGAAAAGCAATCAAGTATTTCAAGGCACATCGCGACAGGGTACACTAGAAATGGGCTTTACTCTTTCTACCCTTGAGAATCGAAACGGGGCGTTCGTTGGGACGAGCGCAGTAACCATTCGGCTACCCCACCACTTCTTAAAGCTGAGAGCTGGTCTGTTCTATTTACGCTCGAACGCCATCGATCAACCGGTACCGATAATTGTATCTTATACACAGGCATCACCGATTGATTCATGGGTGACCATAACTACCTCCTTACTGAAGTCAGACCGCCTCCGTAGTCTAGTGGTAGAGAGTCCGCCCGGAGAGTGGAAGGTCGGGGGTTCGATCTCCGGTCGCATCATACCAAAAGAATGCCTGTCGCTCGGCATAACGGGACTAAAACAAGGACTTGTCGGCTCGGAGTTAGTATTTCCATTGTCCCAGTGGGGTATTCATGTTAAACTGTCATGGTATCTCAGTGGGTTAGCACCAGTCCTGAACTAGTACAAGCAGTCACACACTCATACGTGCATGGAAGTCGCTTATATGTGCAATAATGATGGTATTTAGATGGTATTTGGGATTCAGGGGAGGAGGGGTTGGCACCATCAATATTTGAAAGCGGCCAGTAGCACAACAGCGCTCGATTACCGTCAACATATATCAGGACCTGTTTTAGAAAGCAATCGTAGCCCAGGGTCTTTGATATTCCAGGTGTCCCTTATAGCGGGGCTACTTTGCACAAATATCAATTCATTATTAATTTTGTATGACACCGCAGTAAGCAACATTCGGGCTATACGACGGCGGTCTGTCAATATTTGAGCCTGGACTTGATGAACTTGTGATTGGTATTGTGAACAACGCCCCACGTCGTCCCAAGTCAGCGAGCCTGACCACCCGATCCCGTTAGTCGCCTCTTACGACAAGCAGTCACCTTTTACGGCAAGCATGGGTTGCTGAAGACCTTTTCTACCCCGGATCTTCACAGGTGCGTAAGTCAGGTACCTTGATTTCCTTTATATCACGGCGTGTCAGCTTAATGTAGGAGGAAAGCCCGAAATGATGCTGATCTTAGACGTTTACCACTTTAGTGAAACCCACGAGCACGGGTATGGTGCTGACAAACCTAGAAGCATAATCGAGGCGAACCGGGATTCGAACCCACGGTCATGGGTTTCTGGCTTGCTTAAGGGTCCTAACTCTGCACTGCAATTGTGGCGCCAAACACGACTCGGCCACCCGTGCCTCCTTTTCTCGTGACCCAAAAGAGAGGATAAGGGAGTAGAGACAGCTGGCTGCCCACAAACACTTACACGTTTCTGTGCGAAGAACGTTCCCAGTGTGTATACATCCCTGGCTGTCAACAAACACTTACTTGTTTCTGTGCGAAGAACGTTCCCAGTGTGTATACATTACTGGCTGCTCACAAACACTTACTTGTTTCTGTGCGAAGAACGTTCCCAGTGAGTATACACTCCTGGCTGCCCACAAACACTTACTTGTTTCTGTGCGAAGAACGTTCCCAGTGTGTATACACTCCTGGCTGCCAACAAAAACTTACTTGTTTCTGTGCGAAGAACGTTCCCAGTGTGTATACATTACTGGCTGTCCACAAACACTTACTTGTTTCTGTGCGAAGAACGTTCCCAGTGTGTATACATTACTGGCTGTTCACAAACACTTACTTGTTTCTGTGCGAAGAACGTTCCCAGTGTGTATACACTCCTGGCTGCCAACAAACACTTACTTGTTTCTGTGCGAAGAACGTTCCCAGTGTGTATACATTACTGGCTGTCCACAAACACTTACTTGTTTCTGTGCGAAGACCGTTCCCAGTGTGTATACACTCCTGGCTGCCAACAAACACTTACTTGTTTCTGTGCGAAGAACGTTCCCAGTGTGTATACATTACTGGCTGTCCACAAACACTTACTTGTTTCTGTGCGAAGACCGTTCCCAGTGTGTATACATTACTGGCTGTCCACAAACACTTACACGTTTCTGTGAAAGACCGTTCCCAGTGTGTATACATCCCTGGCTGCCCACAAACACTTACTTGTTTCTGTGCGAAGACCGTTCCCAGTGTGTATACATTACTGGCTGCCAACAAACACTTACTTGTTTCTGTGCGAAGAACGTTCCCAGTGTGTATACATTACTGGCTGTCCACAAACACTTACTTGTTTCTGTGCGAAGAACGTTCCCAGTGTGTATACATCCCTGGCTGTCCACAAACACTTACACGTTTCTGTGAAAGACCGTTCCCAGTGTGTATACATCCCTGGCTGCCCACAAACACTTACTTGTTTCTGTGCGAAGACCGTTCCCAGTGTGTATACATTACTGGCTGCCAACAAACACTTACTTGTTTCTGTGCGAAGAACGTTCCCAGTGTGTATACATTACTGGCTGTCCACAAACACTTACTTGTTTCTGTGCGAAGACCGTTCCCAGTGTGTATACATCCCTGGCTGTCCACAAACACTTACACGTTTCTGTGAAAGACCGTTCCCAGTGTGTATACATCCCTGGCTGCCCACAAACACTTACTTGTTTCTGTGCGAAGACCGTTCCCAGTGTGTATACATTACTGGCTGTCCACAAACACTTACTTGTTTCTGTGAAAGACCGTTCCCAGTGTGTATACATCCCTGGCTGCCCACAAACACTTATTTGTTTCTGTGCGAAGAACGTTCCCAGTGTGTATACATTACTGGCTGCCAACAAACACGTACTTGTTTCTGTGCGAAGAACGTTCCCAGTGTGTATACATTACTGGCTGCCAACAAACACTTACTTGTTTCTGTGCGAAGAACGTTCCCAGTGTGTATACACTCCTGGCTGTCCACAAACACTTACTTGTTTCTGTGCGAAGAACGTTCCCAGTGTGTATACACTCCTGGCTGTCCACAAACACTTACTTGTTTCTGTGCGAAGAACGTTCCTAGTGTGTATACATTACTGGCTGCCAACAAACACTTACTTGTTTCTGTGCGAAGAACGTTCCCAGTGTGTATACATTACTGGCTGTCCACAAACACTTACTTGTTTCTGTGCGAAGACCGTTCCCAGTGTGTATACATTACTGGCTGTCCACAAACACTTACTTGTTTCTGTGCGAAGAACGTTCCCAGTGTGTATACACTCCTGGCTGCCCACAAACACTTACTTGTTTCTTTGCGAAGAACGTTCCCAGTGTGTATACATTACTGGCTGTTCACAAACACTTACTTGTTTCTGTGCGAAGAACGTTCCAAGTTTGTATACATTACTGGCTGTCCACAAACACTTACATGTTTGTGTGCGAAGACCGTTCCCAGTGTGTATACATCCCTTGTAAGTACAGGCAGAGTCAGACGCTGTGGGCAAACATAATTTGTTGACGCACTGGTTCATGACGAACGGTTCGGTCACCTTTATTATCCCACACTGGTTATCTGAAATAATCAGAGAATCTGGAATGAGTGAGTGATTTGGTTTAAAGCCGTTTACTGCAGGGGAGCATCACAAAATGGTTTTAAATGTTTGCCACTTTGGTTAAATCAACGAGCAAGCTTATGGTGGCAAGGTGGGTATTGATTGTCCTAGGTAGGAATTGTCCGGGTGGGAAATGATCTTGGTGGCAATTGTCCGGGTGGCAATTGTGCTGATATACAAAGGATCATAATCAAACCTTTAGGACCTCCTGTTAAGTGTAAGGGGCGTAATTCTGCATAGCGAATAAAAGCGCCATCGACCATTGGGTCATCACAAGTCTGATGAGCTGATCATCACTTACTAGGAGCTTAGAGGTGTAGTGGATTGCCACTGAGAATTGTATCAGTTTGTTGGCATACCTCCACTGTATTATGGTAAATACCCTGGGTCGATGCCTTATAATAGCTTCGTTGTGAGCCTGAGTCCAAAGGCACGACACTTACATAGCCGTTCAATCAAATTACACCCATGAGCGAGAAACATTCTTTGCTATGTGTTAAGAAGGCTGGAGGCGGTGACATCTCTTCCAAACCGAACCCTTTTTCGAAGTGCAACCAGCTACGCACAATGGAATGCTGTTACTGTTGGAAGTGCAACCAGCTACGTGCATTGGAATTCTGTTACTGTTGGAAGTGTAACCAGCTACGCACAATGGAATTCTGTTACTGTTGGAGGTGCCTCCAGCTACGTGCATTGGAATTCTGTTACTGTTCGACGTGCAAGCAGCTACGAGTATTGGTATTCGGTTACTGTTGGAAGGGCAACCAGCTACGCATAATGGAATTCTGTAACTGTTGGAAGTGCAGTCATCATGGAGATCTAAGTTCAATGGATAATTAAGGATGGTCCGTTGACAACTTGCCTCTAAATGCTTTGAATTCTTCAATATTCGGGTTGATGGATGCGAAAAGGGCCGCCTGGTTTCTAATGGTGTACTCGTCCTGGAAGTAAATGGCTTCCGGAATACGGAACTGTTCCTGGGTGAAGCCTAGAGTGGAGGTTTCTGGATAGATGCTGACGTCATTATCTCCAGCTGCGATCAGTACCCTCGCGAGAAGATTCTGCACATTTGTTCCATACCTTGAAAAGAATCAAAACATCTCAAAAGTCTCACTCTTTACTCGTGCCAATCATCATCATCATCATCATCGTCGTCGTCGTCGTCAAATTATTATTATTATTATTATTATTATTATTATTATTATTATTATTATTATTATTATTATAGTCACTAGAATAACTATGGTAAAACTACAAATATATATTACAGGAACATGCACGTTGGCGATATCATCACATGCAGCTCGTCAATGATGACTGCACCACAGTTGAGGGTGTTGATGGCATTGAGTCCGTAAGGGTTCAAAGGGGGATTTTTGTTGTCCGTGACAAAATGGACATGTGCGTGCCACGGAACACTGCATGCTGAGGCTGGGACTCCGCCAATGATTCTTCCTTCTGGGTAAAACTGACTCTGACCGCAGTCTTGGCCTGTTGGTTGGAACAAAATTAAACACACTTTTGATTAAACGAAATAAACTTAGGCACTCCCGTGCCACCAAATGTAGAAGCATTCGAATATTTTAAATATGAGGTAGGAACAAAACAATAGGAACATTTGAGCAAGTTTTACGCCGCGTTTCTGTGCCTTCCAGGCACGGATTGAGACACCTTATTGAGTCAGTGAGTTGGGCTTAACGCCGCTTTGAACAGTGTTCCAGTTATATCACGGCGTGTCAGCTTAATGCGGGAGGAAAGCCCGAAGTGACGCAGGTGTCAGACGTTTACCACAAACCTTGAAATATAATCGGGGCGAACCGGGATTCGAGCCCACAATTATAGGTTTCTGGCGTGCCCAGGGGGCGCAACTCTGCACAGCGAATTCCGCCGCCTGAGACGCCTGGGCCACCCGCTATTGGCTAAACACTACGATTCTTGGTAAGTTATCTTTTTGTTAAAAAATCTCTTCAGTTTAAAGTATAAAATATCTAATGGTTTTCTAAAGTGTGGCAATATGTAGAAGACTGAGAGTGGGTTCAAGGCAAACACGTAGCCTGTGCAGGTACACATTAACTATATTTAAGTACATACGATTTGAATAAACTCGTGGCTACAATGCGAAAGAGTGTAGGAATATTTAAGCAATACATTAAATTGAAACGTTGGGAGCCATTGAAAATATTTATGTACGCACTATGTATTTTCTGTGGGGCCTTACTATGTTTTTTGTTTGTTTGCAACATTCCATCTGTATGACGGCAGTCTGTAAATAAATCGAGTATGGACCAGACAATCCAGAGAGTGATATCATGAGCATCGATCCACGCTATTGGGATACATGCATCAAACAGCCTGACCACCCGATCCCGATTGTCGCCTCTTACGACAAGCATAGTAGCCCCTTACGATAAGCATGGGTTGCTGAAGACCTATTCTTACCCGGATATTCACGGGTTGGACCTTACTATGAAAACACAGTGTCACTGCACTGTGACGGTCTGAAGGTAGTTCCGGGATGAACTTCACACAAATTAATTACAGGCCAGTTTTCTAGAGTAAAACATAAAATATATTTTTTTCAGATAAACGTGGTACCTGTTAATCAAAACCAAAATAAACCTACGGACCTATACAAGTTATATAGGTCCGTGGTTCTCCTAAGTTCGAGTCAAGCGGAGTGTCCATATTAGGTGATGGTGACCCAACGGATCCTACCGGGACCATAAGGCATATCAGTTAATGGAGTTCGAGTTATAGAGGTTCAGACATGGTTCTCTTTAATAAATGATTTAGTATATCAAACAAATCTTTACCTCGAGCCAGGTGCTAAGGACATGTAGTCACGCGTGTACTCTAGGTCTCTTCAATAAATAGATTAGGTTAAAATCATGGCAGCATCCCCCAAATATAATGGTTAAATCCCCCCTAGGCAGATCCAGACGAGGGGGTTGGTTGGGGTGTCCAGGGGTCCGGACCCCCTTTTTAAAACCAAATGTAGCATGTTGTAACCCCACCCACCATATACACACACACACACGCACACTGAGGAGAGAGGATTTTGACCCCTCCTTTTTAAAAATACCTTTGGTGTTGTTAATTGTTTTAGCATTACAGGCTATATGTTGGGGGTATTCGTTATATTTTTCTTTCAGAAGTAAATGTTTTATATATATTTTATATATCCCAATATTCCCATAACCGGTAGAATCCACAGTATCATTTTACAAGTATTATATTTTGATATTGATGTAGCTGACCCGGTTCGATAAGCATGGCTACATAACGCCAATCGTTGTATTATGCCTCGTTTATCAATTCACATACAGTATCTCAAAATATAAAAGACAGAAACCATTTCATAAAAAAATAATCGCATGAAAAAGTTACAATTTTTTTCATTTTCGCGACCATCCTGAGTAACAAACAATTTGATGTAACTTCACTTACCCAAAACGGCTCCAAATAGCGCAAGGCAGAGCGTGATGGTGAGAGCGGCCATCTTGTGAGGCTGATGTGGGAATTGACAGCAGCTGCGAAGAAAGGGGACGAGATGACAGGTGAGTTAAGGCAGAACGTATTGACTTAGCTACACCCCACCCATTGACCAACATACGCCGTATTTACATATTCACCACGGCAACCACGCTGCATACATACGTCAACGGTAGCAAACTTCAATTTTAAAGTGTGTGCAGCCGTCTTTTAGTTTTAACATTAATATCAATTTTAACGGAACATGAAATATACTATTGAACCGAACCTTGTGAACAGTCGTACAGGATAGCAGTGTAGCAACTCCTCTTATTGCTTTAAACGAACCTGCAAAAGGTTTTCGTCAATCAAGTTCGCCCTTTTGATACATCACAATCTACATACATCTTTTCAATACCGGTATTTGGGCCGATCAAGATGTTTGCCAAGATGACGGTGCGGGCGTCAGTTGTATGGATGTATATTTCTCATCCTCCCATTTCTAAACGTGACAGACAGCTTTCTGAAGTTAATCATTTACACTACCAGGCTAAGGTTTATGATAAATAGGTTTTACCATGGGTGTCATTTTGTAAAGCGTCTAATTTAAAGGGTTGTGCGTAGCATATGATATAAAGCTGCGCCTATTTACCAAAGGTCTTGCCCGAGTCGTAAGCTATCAAGGACAACCTGGACAGGACGCACGCCCTTGATTTAAACGCTGCAAATGTACTGTGTGCCATCACACTTGCTTAGAAATAAGTGAAAGATTCAAAACAAGAATGGTAAAGAATCGTGTCCAATTAGGCATATTAATACGATTTGTTGAATGAATGTTCTCACGTTTTGATAAGACCTGTGAAGATCCGGAGTAGAATAGTTCTTCAGCGACCCATTTTTGACATAAAAGGCGACAATGCTTGTCGTGAGAGGCGACTAACGGGATCAGGTGGTCAGGCTCGCTGACTTGGTTAATGCATGTCATTGTATACCAATTGCCTAGATCGATACTCATGGTGTCAATCACTGGATTGTCTGACCCAAACTCCAGACCGCCGTCATATACATGTAGCTGGAATATTGCTGTATCTGTGATGTATCTGTGTATGTTATCATTGAAGTGAGACCAGCTGCGACCCACAACGGACATGATTGTGTGTGCACCCAACCCTGACGTGTGATGCTTTTACTGTCATACAACTGACTCACCCGACGGATGGGAGGGCCAATGAATTATTATTTTAAGAAAACCATGAGAAACGTCTAGAGCAGAAACTTAAACGAAACTACGTATGCGTGAGTTCACGTGTATGTTAGTCATCCGACACCGTGTTACTTATTTGAAGATACATGATGATCAAGAGCAAAGGTAAAGGCGAAAAAGCAAACCGTATCGTCAGTGGATGGTGAAATGAATGTATCCCTTTGTTTGGTGAGTTGGGTGTAACGCTGCTCTGAACAGTATTCATGTTACAAAATAGCCCAACATTGATCCGATCGTTCACGTTTACCCCTTGGTGAAATCCATGACTCCATGACTGTGGTGTTGACGAATCAATGTTGGTTGGTTTGTTGTTTTAGGCCGCACTCAGCAATATTCCAGCTGTATGACGGCGGTCTGTAAATAATCGAGTCTGGACCAGACAATCCAGTGATTAATATCATGAGCATCGATCCACGCAATTGGGATCGATGACATGCATCAACCAAGTCAGCGAGCCTGACCACCCGATCCCGTTAGTCGCCTTTTACGACAAGCATAGTCGCCTTTTACGGCAAGCATGGGTTGCTGAAGACCTATTCTACCCCGGATCTTCACGGGTATGACGAATCAATGATGATAATTGGTCTATTTCGAACCAACGACAAGCAGGTCCCCGAAACTAACGGTATAACCAATACGTTAAAGAATGTGCATATCGGGCCAAGATTCAGCACAGGTACTCCGGACTAAAATACTCATGGAAATGAAAAAAACCTGTTTTGCTGGATTTAATAATCGACACAAAGCATTACGTAGATGTAAATACGAAATAACAAAACAACTGGAAAAGTACTAGTCTGGATTTGCTAGTTTTATCTCAGTGCTCATTAAAAAATGTACTGTACAGGAGGTAAGTTTTAGGCACTTTCAACAGTCAAAAATAAAACTAAGTCCAAATTGACATGGCAGAAACAGGCTATAGGCATTATGCAAATTAGCCTGGAAAAAAGTTATCAAAACAACAATAAAAATAACAGCTATGTTTACGTACATAATAATAATGACATGAAAGTTGTTGTTTGAGAAGGGAATATATTACTTTTACGTTCTGCTATTTTGACGATGATTCACTATCCCACAATGCCACTGACAAATCACTAACCACTGACAAATCACATGCACGTGGGTTTCAAGCAACTGTTTTCACCTGTCGTCAAGGTGTCATATGTCATGGACATTCACCTTGCTCTACAAACACCTGGTTATGCTCAGTTTCACAATAGTCTGTTTTGTTCCCATTTTTACACACTTTTACGTGTAAAAAGACATAAAAACCTTTGATGCGCTGTATTTGTGCCAAGGCCCAATTAGCACTAATTGAGTTGTTTGAATATTTATATATTTTGTATATTAACTGCATTTATTTAAAATCTGAGATCGAAAAAACAGGGTTTTTTCATTTCCGTGTGTACTTTAGACGTTACACCTACTTGTTACAACCGTTATTGTTCACGTCTTTACATTTAACCACCTTGTCTAACCTTGTCCAATTTCATGACGGTTTAGCTGGAAGACCCTGAAAAACGAGTTAGACACATGTTTATCTTGCGTAATGTGAACACTTACATCTTGTTGAAACGTATTGTACATATTCAGTCACATACACGCCACCAACAGACGATTGACTGCAAGTGTGTAGATTTAGGGTTTAAAGATTTATTGCCACAGTCCGCGGTCCGATGACAACATGTCAACGAGGGATGTCAATAGTTAACATCGACACTGCACTACCCTATCGATATTTTCAATGGATGTAGGAAATATTTTTTTCTTTTTGCTTAATTCAGATATGTCTTATTAAATCATGTTGGGTATCCGTTCCAGGAAACAGTGGTCTTATTAGGACAGTCAAAATTTGCCATGAAATGTGAATTGTGGATTTGTACTCGCCATATTATCGCAATAATAATAATAACAACAACAGTAGTCGATTTTTATGGCGCTGTACTCCATGCATAAGAATGCTGTAAGCGCTTAGACTTTATTACCCCAGTCAGTGGATCATTCTCATCTCCCTGGGGAGTATATAACTCAAACTGCCTGGTATGCGCTGGAAGGTTAACAACCCCTCATACTACCGGGTACCCATTCACTGCTGGGTGAAAAGAGGCAAACTCACTTGCCAAAGAAACACCACATGTGTTGCATGTGCTTCCGTGTCCCATTCGCTGTCTGGGATGCGTGAGGAGGGGGCAAGGGCCCTGAGCTGATGATGAGCCGGACAAATTTCGAACAAACTAACTTACCAAAGGAGACACCACATGTGTTACATGTGCTTCAGTGTGGGGCAAGACCGAAGCCCTAGAAACTCTCAGGAGCCAAGGTTCCGAACGCGGTCACCAATCCAAGGACTCTTGCAATAGTGGTACAATTATTTTATTAGTATCGTAATAGTCCTTTGATTATTGCAGCAAATATCAACTGTCAATGGGAGAAAGTAACCAGGCAGAAACAGATTTCTTTTGGCGTCAAGAGCAAAATAGCTGTGAAAATTATATGAATGGACCTCTGAAAATCAGTGATAACACCAGGTGTTCGCGAAAAGGGAAAGCATGGCCTTGCAACACCATTTACAAAATTTGCATGAGAAAGTATTTATCGCCTTCCCCCAGTCGCTTATATTTACCAGTTATAATGGGAGGCCATTGTTTGATTAACGTGGAGGCTCTTCGTGACATTTTATGGTGATATTTCATGATATTTGTCTGGTGATTCTCTTATAAAACAGGTCAAGACTAATGATGTTAGGATGTGGGACATGATCTAAATGTCAATGGTGATTTTGTGGATGGTTCCGTAAAGCTGGACGGTAGAGAAATGAGAGTCAACGAAGCGAAGTGTCATATCAAATCGGAACAGGTTTGTTTTTTCAATGACCACTGCATCTAGTTTATGTGCAGTGTGTTGAGATAACCAGCGAACAAGCAGAGTCCTTCGCTTAGACGAAGTCGGCTGGCCTGAATATGAAACAGAAGGATTTCTGTTTTTTGCTAAGGACCAGTCACTCCCCTCTCGAAACCGTCTGTGTGGGATTTTGCATCAAAACGTAAATATGAAATGGAGATTATGCAATGAATTTAATGAGACTGTCCAACACCTTGTCAGTGGATGACCAGCTTTGGCACAAACAGAGTTTCTTAAGCGACGTGATCGGCGTGACTCGATCATTTTATAACCGTCTTGTGGTCTTGTCTCAGAGGTCCATGCATGGTACGACCCATTATATGTAGAGTTCGTCATGGCAAAAGATAATTGTGAAATTCTATGGAATAGACCCGTGTATAGCCTTAGACGTATCCAGGCCAACAAACCTGACCGTGTCATTTTTAATGAAATGTAGTGTATCATTGAAATCTCTCAGTCCGGTCTGACATCAATGTCATTGACAAGATTCAGGAAAAACATAGCAAATATGCGGACCTGTCACGCTTGCATCCCAAGCTCCCCATGGTTCTCGGTGCCTTATGTATGGTACCTCCCAGTCTGTTGTGCTGCCAGAAACCAGCACTTCTGACAATCTGGGTAATGGCAGAAGGCTGCAGTGTTGGGGAGTCTTCACATTCTCCGAAACGTTCGCGGTTGGTTTGACTAGGCAGCGCTTCCTGGGAGAAGTCCCACTCGCTGTCTGGGATGCGTGTAGAGGGGGCAAGGGCCCTGAGCTGATGATGAGCCAACCTAACAAGCCTGACTGTGCAAGGTTCACCCAAACCCTCTTTGCTGCATTTTTTATTTTACATTGTACACAATAACAACAACAAAATCACCACCACTAACAACAACAACAAGGACGACAACAACAACAATAATAATAATAGTTGTTGTTAACTGACATTTGGAGAGTATCCGGGTTTTGCTGTGACCAGGAACACAGCCCTTCTGACATTCTGGGTGATGGCAGAAGGCTGCAGTATTGGGGAGTCTTCACATTCTCCGAAACGTTCTGGGTGGGTTCTAGAAGTCCCATTCGCTGTCTGGGCTGCGTGTTGAGGGGACAAGGGCCCTGAGCCCTTACCAGCCTGACTGCCAGGATCACCCAACAACAACAACAACAACAACAACAACAATAGCAACAACAACAATCCATTTATATAGAGCTGTACTCCATGCCTAAGCATGCTCTAAGCACTTAGATATTTTGGTATATTCAACAATATA